AGAGAGAGAGAGAGAGAGAGAGAGAGATTATATCCTACTAGAAAGTTCATTTCAAATCTTTCTATTGTATTTTAACCTCTATAGAGAATTCCAGGCACTTTCATTATGGTTTGTTTTATATTCAGTTATTAATTCATTCCCAATCTCATTAAAAAGAGAGAGAGAGGTAATTATATCAAGACACTAAGCTAAAATTGTTTTATTTTTATTTTTCTCTTCCTAAATTATACTGGATATACTACTAAATTCCTTAGTAGAGACTGGGTTATTCATATTTGGAGAACTAGAGATATGGAAAATGAAATTACAACTTATTAAGTTTAGTAAGAAACAGAGTAGACTAGTCTTGTCTACCAGATATTTTAGTAATATTCCATAAGAAATTCCAAACTTAGGAAAATGTTGACTCATGCTCTTCAGCAAGTTGCATAGATTCAGGTGCCAGGAATTTGTAAACACAATGGCAGTGTTTGCTTAAATTTAGAGGTAATTATTATTATAAGAAAAGCAAATATACAATTCTGCCTTGAGAGGTCTAAAAGAATCTTCAACCTAATCAATATACTTCCTCACTGAAACATCTAATGGGGTTCATGACAAAGGTATTGAAGAAGGTTAAAAGTAATCCAAGTATTTTTGACAACATTAATAAACCACAGCACAGACTCTATCATAAACTACTGTAGAGCACTTTTGGGTGTTACTACTCACTTGGCATTATCATCAATTATAAATAAAAACAAGTAACTTTTATAAAGGTCACTTCAAATGCAAGTTTTAGCATCTCATCAGAACTATGTGCAAGTATAAAGACCATCCTATTAAATATATACACATACATACATACACAATCATATATGCACATGAAACCTTTATTATTTAGAAAAGAAACCCAGTAGGCATAAGGATCTCATGTAAATTTAGAACTTATTTATACATGCAACAGCTCTGGCCAATGCATTACCTCAATTGATTTATAGATTCAGATTAAGCACATTAGTCATGTATCAGAATCACAGCACACAAACTGCATTTTATTTTATAGTATCACTAGAGGCCCGGTGCATGGAATTGTGCACTGGTGGGGGGCATGGCCTGCGGGGATCGGCCCACTGTGGGAGCGCTGCTCATCCCAGTCAGCCAAGCGGCGCTCCCACTGTGGGATCGCACTGACCACCAGGGGGCAGCTCTTGCGTTGAGCTTCTGCCCCCGGTGGTCAGTGTGCGTCATAGTGACTGGTTGACTGGTTGTTCTGGTCATTCCACAGTTCAGTCACTGGGCTTTTATTATATAGGATGTTTTCTGGAAGGAAGTCATAAATTAATCTTTTATTATAGTCTCAATCATATTTATACACACCAAGGAAATGACCATGGGCAAGTTATCTAACTTCTCTGAGCCTTGTTATCATATATCTAAAATTGAAATGATAAAGTTTTAAAGTTTACCTCATAAGGTTGTTGTGGTGGTAAAATGAGATAATGTGTGTAAAAAGCACTTGGCAAAACTCCAGGGCCACCATAGCTATTATTATCGTTGTTACCACTTTTTATTAAGGTGACAGTCACTTCATACGTGAAGAGTTAGTTCCTGATTAACAGGTTTTCTATCAAGTTTTCTTTGGGCATGGTGCACAATGTCTGAGGTCTGGTACCTTGAACTTAGTAAAATTAGGCAATATTATCACTGCCATTCACAATATCTGTATTTTGCCATTGTTATATTCTAGCCAAGTGCATGTCAGTGGAATAACAGACACAGAAGAAGAAAGAATTAAAGAAGCTGCTGCTTATATAGCCCAGAGGAATCTTCTTGCTAGTGAAGAAGGAATCACAACATCCAAGCAGTCCACAGTATCGAAACAGTCTTTGTCCACTCTCCACCAGGAGGAAGTTTTTGAGAAGAAGTCAAGAAAAGTTGCAATTCGAGAAAAGGCAGAACATCTGTCACTAAGAAAAACAGTAAGAAAAGACAAGTTAATATAGCTTACAAAAGTAGAAATGCATGTAGTGTGTGTGTGTGTGTGTGTGTGTGTAGATAGAAATTGACTTGTTTCAAATGAAGAGATATGTGATCTTGTGGAGAAACAAAGAAACTAAGAAGAAGACATCAAAATATATAGGTCAGAGAAAGACAAACAATCATTTTAAACTCCATGTAATTTTAGGTTCTACAGAAATTAAGGTTTTAAAGAATCTTAAGAAGTCCACCTTCGGGAAGTAAAATATGTACCTTGACCTTAAAATGTTAAAAATTAAATGGTGTAGCTTTTAAAATTTTTCTTATTTTTTAAATCATTGTTTATTTTTCAATTACCATTGACATGCAACATTATATTAGTTTCAGGTGTTCACCCTAGTGATTAGACATTGTATAATTTACTAAGTGATCATCTCACTAAATCTCATATCCATTGGATACCATACATAATTATTAGAGTATTATTGAGTCTATTCCCTATGTTGTACTTTACATCCCCATGACTATTTTGTAACTTCCTAATCCCTTTCACCCATCCCCAGAACCCCTGCCCCCCAAATCTGACAACCATCAAAATGTTCTCTGTGTCTATGAGTCTGTTTCTGTTCTGCTCGTGCATTTATTTTGAGTTTTAGATTTGGTTGTTGATATATATTTATTGTCTTTTATTATCCATTTAAAAATATTTTTATTAATTTCAGAGAGGAGGGGAGAGGAAGAAATAGTTGGAAACATTAATGATGAAAGAGAATCATTGATCAGCTGCCTCCTGCATGCCCCCCACTGGGGATCAAGCCCACAATCTGGGCATGTGTCCTTGACCAGAATCAAACCTGGGACCCTTCAGTCCTCAGGCTGACACTCTATCCACTGAGCCAAACCAGCTAGGGCCATATTTTTTAAAATTTATTTTCTTCTTTTTAAAGAACACTCTAGTATTTCATTTAATACTGGTTTGGTGGTGATGAACTCTAGCTTTTTCTTGTTTGGGAAGCTCTTTATCTGTCCTTTAATTCTAAATTATAGCTTTGCTGGGTAGAATAATCTTGGTTGTAGGTTCTTGCTTTTCATCACTTTGAATATTTCATGCCAGTCCCTTCTGGCCTGCAAAGTTTCTGTTGAGAAATTGAGTACCACATTTACCTATACTGCCATCTTGGCCAGAAGTCTTAAATGGTGTATTTATTTTAAAAAGGAGCAAAGAATATGCATTTGATTTAAATATAAAAATCAGGCTCCAAATGGAAAAATTATAATTTTGGTTTCTGCTTGTTATTTTTTTTTTTTGGCTGCTATTTTTTTTCCTGCTTGCTATTTTTATAGTACAAGTTACTTTGATTTTATAATATTTTGATTTTTTTCCAGTTAGAAGAAACTGAGGCATTTCATAGAAAAATGAATGAAGATCATCTTCTCCATGCTCCTGAGTTTGTCATCAAACCTCGTTCCCACACTGTTTGGGAGAAGGAAAATGTAAAATTACACTGTTCTGTATCTGGCTGGCCAGCACCTCGTGTCACATGGTATGTTATCTTTTTGAAAACTACTCCTATAATCAACTATACAAAATTACTTTAACCTCTAGTGAAAATATTCAGCATTATAAATATGCAGGAGTCATTGAAAGCATTTACAAATTTGTATAGATTTTTAAAATAGTGAAGAAAGTATACTGAGATTAATATTTTATGTATGGGAAAAACAGTATTGCATACGTTATGATACATTATAATTATATTAGAGGCCCAGTGCATGAAATCATGAGCCGGGGGGGCAGGGACTGAGAGGTGGTCAATGCACCTCATGGTGACTGGTGGAGCGGTCGTTCTGGTTGTTACACTTATGGTCCCTGGCTGTTTATTATGTAGGATTATACAGATGGGTCTTTATCTTATTAAAGTGTTAAAATTTTATCAACATATTTACATACAAAGAAAATGTATATCTATAATTTCTATAGATCATAAAAATTTGTTCTCATTAAATATAGGTATCATTTTGTGATGACAAGCAATACTGCCTTTTAAAAAATAAAACCCAAAGGGTTCCAACTCTACTAATCATCTGAGCTGAGGTCTCAATGTGTTTTTTCTAAAGCCAAGAAAAAAGAGGGGATTTGATGGGAAATATTACTCAATAAGGGGCCTGAAGGAATCTTCTTTCCATAAAGAATAAATGCTCCCTTTCCCCTTCCATTATATATGGTAGCCCCCCGCCTAAAAAAGTATACACACTTTGAAAGATTACAAAGTCAGTATTTGTTAACATACAGTTCACTTTCAAATTTTAAAAGAATCTACAGAAATGGGTAACTTTTTTTGTCAATGCCTGTTTTCAAACTGATAACCATTTTGGTCCAGGCACTGCTGATAATGTGTGCCCTCAGTTCATCAACTATTGCTTGTTTTGTACTGTAAACTCTATCCTTTTGTAGCCCCATAAAAAAGTCTAGTGGATAAATTTTCTTTGTTTAAAGCTTAGTCTGGCTTCACCCATTATTTCAAATCAGTTAAACCTGAAAAGGAGTGAAAATTGAGTTATCAGCTGTTAAAGTATGTATGCATTTATGGGGGGACACCCTGTGACCCCAAAAATGTATGCACACTTTGAATAATTATAAATGTATACATACTTTGAAAATGTTTGTACTTCAACTGCATTTTCAAACTTCTAGTAGCATTTTAGGATGAATTTCTTTTGTTCAAAGCTTAGTCTGGCTGAAAAGAGAGAAACATCAATTGAGCTATCAGCTGTTAAAGTGTGTATACCTGTTTTGGACATCCTGTATATCCTATTGCAATTGTCAGTGATTTTTTGATTCCTAAGCTCAGAATTTTCTTATTATGTGTCATGCATATCTGCCACAGAGAGCAGAAGTATGAAAATGATTGAGCCAACTCAAAAGGCATTTTTCACTTTATTCTCTGACATGGATATTTTGCATGCTATTTTTTCTATCAGGAGTGGTGGTAAATGCACCCTATATTGCAGTATAAACACTACACCGAAGGACATTGTCACTTGTTTTTTACTTTATTCTCTGACATGAATTTTTGCATGCTATTTTTTCTATCGGGAGTGGTGGTAAATGCACCCTATGTTGCAGTATAAACACTACACCGAAGGACATTGTCACTTGCAGAGTCCCTGCTTCCTTCTCCTTTTTCCCCATGATCTCTAATGTTGGTCAGACACGTGGCTAGCATAAATGGAGGTAGCTGACAAGATAGAATCCAGTTACCTGACTAAGGTTATTCTTAAGAAGCAGGTGGAAAGGTTTTAAAAATTCACCTATGATGTCAACCTTCCTTTAATAACATTGGCTTTACTTGCAATTTTTCTTACATGTAAACTTTTTTCAGGGTTTTTGAGTTTGAAAATCAAAGAATGAAAATCCAAGCCAGCTATATATTATCAAGGCAAATAATTTATAGTACACAAAAGTGAGAAATGTAGGAACATATTTCAATGCAAATGAAGTTTTAAAAAATAAATTTATAAACTTTAAAGTATACTATAGTAAGCTAAAAATCAACTTATCTTTGCCTCATCTCTCTCTGTGACTACAGAGTTGCATAATTTGGCCTATTAAAGGGATATTTTCTCTTCAAAAATGGATGACATGTCACCTAAAAAAAAAAATCCAGACTTTCCTATAGAAATGCATGAAGGATAACTAATTTCCAGCTCCAAGAAATATTATTTGGCCATTAAAAACTCTTCTTTCATAAAATTCAAATGTACTACTAATAAACAAATACTCAGAGTCCTTAGTTAGGTACATATATTTATTACATAGCATCCTATCTCTGCTTTTAAAAAATTAGAGTTAAAGATGATTTTTAAAAGTAATATCTGGCAGGTAAATATTCATTTCTTAAGCATTTATTTATTCTACTAAATTCACAGAAACTAGAGTACAAGCATCCAAGTGGACATTGATGGTGTTAATTATTAAACTGGAGTTACAGGCTCCACAAAAGCAGAGCTCAGATATGTCAAAGATTAAACTTATATTCTGTTTTGTTGGCTGGAAAATTAGTGATTTAAAAACAAAATATTTATATAAAAAATAAAAACTCTCCAGAAAAATTTGAGATGACCAAAATGTCGACTCTTAGAATTCCAGTTAAATTGAAAAATAGAAATACTGTCAATTTTCAGTTATCCTCACTAATGGAATTGAGCAGTAGTATGATTTTTTACTAAAATTTTATATCTGTCTTTGAAATATTCATTTCCTCAACATGTGAATTTTATGTCCTATAGGCTCCTTTTAAACACAAACCAAGGGACAGAGGCAAGATTTGCCTCGGGAATGATTGGGAGATTGTTAATTTACTGGAAAAGCCTTCCCTAGTTTCTACACTCCCTTTACTGCTTGGAGAAGACAACTTCATTCTTACCCCAGATTCTTCCAGTAGGGACAGATCAGAGCATTTCACAGAAAGTCCTGTTGTCCTGCAAGTCAAAGAAAAAGTAAATATTAAAACAAAAGAAGTAGTGGACCACCAAGAAAATATTTAACCATACTTCTGAGAACAAGATTTTCTCCTTCTGAAAGCTGAAATGTGGACAATCAGCTAGTAGATAACTGAAAATTGCCTATGGCAATAAAAAAGGTCAGATCCAGTTTTTGTGGGGCATGAGGTTTATTCATTTTGGGGGTACTCTTTACAAAGAAGAATATAAAGTTAGTATAAATTAGACATACAGTCTTGTGGAGACCCATGCTAGTGGGAGACCCTACAACTTCAGCCTTATTGGCTCCAAGGTAAATAAATCCACTTCTGGAAGTAAACTTCTGTGTGGGATTGGTATACATTCCTGCACATGTTGTCTATTAATGAAGCTCTGACTTACTTTGCAATGCTGCTAATGCAATCTTCAGAAGTCATCCATCCCCTCAATGAGCAGGGAACCCAGAGCCCAAGCAAGAACCCAGGTGGTTGGTGATTTCTTTGCTGGCATTTATGCTTTTATGGTTCCCAACTGCAGCTTCCTGGGTCTGACACTGAAGACAAGTATGAAAGAAATAATTGAGAATGACCTTCCTGAATAGAAGGAGGTAAATAATAGGAATAAGTGTGTGATAATGCTTCATGTAGTCATGCTGCCTCTGTTTGCAACAGTTAGTTCCTTAGCCACGTATTTCAAAGGCATGTGTGCCTGGTGCCTGGCTCCCTTAGAGCCCTTTCCAAACTTGATTCCAAGTTTCCACTAGGCACCCTCGGGTCATGGAAATCCCTGAGGTCTAGCAAATGTTACGCACATGCAGCAGCTGCTCTTTGGTCAGTCCCATGTTGTTTTTTCTTAATAGGCAATATTTATGTAATAGCTTGTATGGCAGGCTATATATTGGTTTAAAAGGTAGGGGAACATTTATATCTGTATAGTCAGGAAACTTCATATCCACAGTTTCACACCCACGGATTCAACCAGCTGCAGAGTGAAAATATTCTGGAGAAAAAAATCCCAGAAAGTTCTAAAAAGTAAAACTTGAATTTGAAACATGCCAAGCACTATGCTGAATCCATGCAAATGAAATTATGTGTATACATGCTTTATTGTAGCCTATTTGCAAATATAGGTTACATGCAAATATTACACAATTTTATATAAGGAACTTGAGCATCTGTGGATTTTGGTATCTTCAGGTGTCCTGGAACCAACCTCCTGTGCATACCAAGGGAAAATTGTATTTGTTTTATTTGTGTAAAGGAACTCTGGAAGAAGAGGTAAAAATGGTTGAGAGTTGATCTATATGAACCAGGAGGTCATGATTCGGTTCCCAGTTAGGGAACATTTCCAGGTTGGAGGCTCAATCCCCGATGGGGGATGTGCAGGAGGCAACCAATCAATGATTCTCTTTCATCATTGATGTTTCTATCTCTCTCTCTCTCCTCTCTGAAATCAGTAAAAAATATATTTTAAAAAAAACGAATCTAAGGAGAGCAATAAGCTGTGGGGAAGGAGCTGGGTAGAAGGCAGACAAGTGTGAGGAAGGAGACTGTTCCCTGTGCACCCATATACTTTCTAGTTCTTAGACCATACAGATGTATTGCTTAGTCATTTTTTAATATATTTTATTGATTTTTTTACAGAGAGGAAGGGAGAGAGATAGAGAGTTAGAAACACCGATGAGAGAGAAACATCGATCAGCTGCCTCCTGCACATCTCCCACTGGGGATGTGCCTGCAACCCAGGCACATGCCCTTGACCGGAATCGAACCTGGGACCTTTCAGTCCGCAGGCCGATGCTCTATCCACTGAGCCAAACCGGTTTCGGCTGCTTAGTCATTTTTAAAAATTATATGAATTACCGGAAAAGAGAACAATTCTCTTTAAAAGAAGGAAAGAATTGAGTTAAAAAGAACCAGATTTCATTGGGTTTCCAACCCAAAGTCTAGATCAATTTTATCAATGAGAATATGGATTGTAGTCTGCAAGGAGATTCACACAAACTCACTGGAGCATGTGTGGGTATTGGTGAGCAGCATTCTTTCACTCATTCAACACCTTTTTGAATCTATATGTGGATACTGGGCTAGATCCTTAAGCGAGACACTTAAAAAATACATGTTTGGAATTCTTCACATTGCCCCTAAGGTCATTGGCAAATAGACACTTAAAGAAATTGTCATTAGGCATGATAATAATTTAAAATGTAGGAATGAAATAATATGATAAATATATCTTAGAAAGAATGGAGATTTGGAAAGGTCTTATTCTATTTTTGCATATTATGAGAATTTATAAATTCTATTATAGACTATGTATTGAATTTGTTTATAAGAGTAGAGTTATTCACAATATATTTAAATTTAGTATTTGCTGCCATATTATCTTAGGAAAACAACCTACATTTAGAATAGTTAAAATTATTTGTAATTTTTAATTACCTCCCAACATAAGGGTTGGGGTTTTATTTTAGATTTTTTTCTATTTATATAATTTCAAAATCTATCCAAATGGGATCGATCTCTCTCAGCTCATTGGTTTTTAAATTGGGTAATAACTATTTACTCAAAACATAAGGTTGAATTCTAAGCAACAGTCACCTTTGTGATGGGATTCAATATGATAAATACCATTTTACATGCATTATTTGCTGATAGAAAAAAATTAGGCTGAAGCCTTTTTACTTGATGATGTTTTACACCACCAAAGACCTTCCATTGTTACCCTTGTATCCAAACAGACATTTGTTTAGGGGCATTTAGTGTGTGTTTTACACACATAAACTAAGAGTTTATTCTAGAAATAGTTATAGTAAAATGCAAACTCATTAATTGTTTATAGAGGCTACATGAAAATGATAAGTGAAATAGTATACATCTGAATATTCATGAGAATTTTCGAAACCTCTTGACAAAATATCCCAGGTTGTAGATTGCTCTCCAGAATTAGCTGATGACTGGCCAGTTTGGAATTTCACTTTCCAGAAATAACAAGCTGTGAAGCATTTACTAATACAGAGCAGGCCAAATATCCTTCCTTTCTTTTCTGACTTAATACTGAAGATAGCCAATGTCAAGTGACCCAGAATTTGAATGCCTCGGTGACTTCCTTGGAAAACAGAGTTGAATTGCTTTTTACTCCTTGCCTGGTGATTTAAAACAGGCATTTCTTACAGTGACAGCTGGCGTACCAGAGGAAAAGCTAGGAAGATCCTCAAATGGTGTGTGTGTGTGTGTGTGTTTTAAACTGATTTCATGTGCCATGTGGTCAACTTAAAAAAGTCGTCAGGTGCTAAGTTGGTTAGTACTGGAGAGCAAGGAAGGGGAAACAACCCTGGGAGCTGCAAAATCCTGTTCAAACTCAAACTTTATGGAGATATGAACAACATTTTTGTCAGAAGCCAAATTGAGTGTCACCCAGTTGTTGGGTCAAGTAGCACATACACAGCCTTTGGTGTCATATTTCTCTTCTTATACTAAAAGGAACTACTGAAAACACCCAACACATGAAAACTGAGAAAGAGAGAGCTTTGAGTCAAGTGTGAAATTACCTAACCTAATTCAATCAAAAGAACATGTCAATTAACAGATTCTACCCTGTCATTCGTCAAAATGAGGAATGTTTGAAATTAGAAGCCGCCAGCAGATTTCTTGTTACAAGCCACCTGATCAGATAGTCCTGTCTGCCTGGGGCCCTGTGGGGAGGCAGCTGTCTGAAGCTGCTTCTGGGCTAGCAGGAAGCAGCTGGCAATGTGTTCTATGGGTTGGGTAGGTTATGCCACTACAACTGCCACACAACTGCAATTCTTTTTTTTTTCCACTTAAAAAAATTTTCATTTTCCAATTACAGTTAATGTATAATATTAAATTAGTTTCGGGTGTACAACCCAGTAATTAGACATTTACATAGCTTACGAAGTGATCACCCTAATAAATCTAGTACCCACCTGACATCATACATGCAACTGCAATTCTTAAGCCAGTCCAGCCCTCTCATTTTAGATATGAGAAAACCGAGACACAAAGAGCCTCAACTTACTGTTTTCATATGCACTTATTTTAAATTATCCATACCAGAACTCTGTTTCTTTGGCCCCAAATTATGAAGCTATAATTAATCTATTGCATTACACAATAATTCCATTCAATTTAACAAATACAGAGTGCCAAATATGTGCCCATGACTCATATTTCCGTGAGAGTGGGAATAGCAGTAAATATGGATCAGACACAGTCCCCATCATCAAGGTACTGGGAGCTTAGTAGGAGTGACACATATTTAGCAATAATTTAATATGTTATACCTTGCAGTTTGATCCAAGTAACACTGATGCAGAGAGGCAGGAAAAAGTAATATTGTGTGGGATTTTAGGGAGGAGTTTATTGAAGTGGCGTTGGATATGAACCTTGAAGGATGAGTTGGGATTTTGCTAAATGGAGAAGGAGAATGATAACATTTTAAAAAGTATAGAAAATGGTCCTCGTGGGGTGGCTCATTTGGTCATCCCATGCACCAAAAGGTTGTGGGTTCGATTCCTGGTCAGAGCACACACCTAGGTTGTGGGTTAGATCCCCAGTTGAGGCATGTAGGGAGGCAACCAGTAGATGTTTCTCACCCACATCGATGTTTCTCTCTTTCTCTCTCTTCCCCCCTTCCTCTCTCTCTAAATTCAATAAAAACATATCCTCAGGTGAGGATTAAAAATAAAATAAAACATAAATACAAAGTATAGAAAATGGATTTGTATTTTAGGGGCATAGAGCCTGTGTGTACACATGTGTGTGTAAGTGTGCAAGTTGGCAAGGGGAAGGAACTAATTGAAGATTATTTTCTTTCTTTCCCTTTTCACCACTTTCCCTGATCCCAAACCTCTTTATAACCATTTCCAGAAGTCTAAAGAAATAAAATGCAGCTAAATAGAGAAAATGGAAGCATCACATGTTGTCAGGAGCCGAACTGACTGTGTTCAAATCCCAGCTCTGTTATTTCTGGCTGTGTGAACTGGGACAAGTTATTTAGCCTCTTCATGCCGGGGCTTCTTCATCTGGAAAATGATGTTAGAAACAGTTCTGCCTCATGTGGTTGTTGTGAGGGCTGAATTTACAATCTATTCATAAAGCACTTAGAACCTTGCCTGGCTCTAGTCAATGTTCTGTGTCAGTTGTGGTTATTCGTGTTATTTATGTTATCTGTGCACATAAAGTGGCATGTTTGAAAGGAAAACAAGTGAAATCTAGCTCCTCTTTTGGGAGGAAATGGCTTAAGCAGGAGAGACTGGTTTGGCACCGTAGCCACCGGCTATTGAGACCTTGAGGACGCGGTATAGACTCAAGGTGCCACTTCTAGACTTGGGAGACAGTGTCTCCGGAAGGACTCTTCCATGTAACCTCTCTCTCTGAGGTCTGAGAGGCTTAACTAGGGGTGGGACAGTCAGAAAAGGGTAATCCTTCAGCTTATATTTGTCAGATTTTTTTTCATGATTATTATTTTAACTTCTTCCAAGCCAAGAGCCATGCTTGCTTATGAGTGAATAAAACACTAAATATAATGAGCTTTCAATACAACTGATATTGTTTTTTCACAACATGCAAGGATGTTAGTAGGAAGAATGTTTTACTTTCATCCTACATAGACAGCCAACAATAAAACCCCTAACACGAAAACTTCCCCTCTGTCGTGTCAGCAATGGTCAAGTTTTTCTTTAGATCTTTTACAAAGGATATGCACACCAAAAGTGCATATTATATATGAATGTAGAACTTTGATGGATTTCTGTAGACTGCACACACCCATGTAATCAAGCACCCAAGTTGCCTCCTTCATATTTCCCCCACCCACCCCACTGCCCTCCCCCACCCCAGGGGGAAATCACTTTCCTGACTTCTAGCAGCATGAATCGGTCTTTTCTGGTTTTGTACTTTATATAAAAGCAGCCATTGTACTGTGTACTCTCTTGTGTCTGTCTCTTCCACTCAACATTATATATGCAAGATTCAACCACATTGTTATGAATGGTCAGCTTCTTAAATGTACTTTTTATGATGAAGGACAGGAAAGTAAGAACATTGAGAAGTTTTATTGCATTAACTGTGCATTTTATTTAATCTACTGTAGACTTGTCTTTATTGAGCAGATGTTGCTGCTGACCTCAGTGCCATGTTTACAGGTGTTCCCTCAAGAATTGTGTGTGCTTTTAATCATGAAGCTATTTACATACACTTCAACTTACTTCCCCTTGTTTCCATTGTCTCGTAGGTATAAAAACCAGGTGCCAATAAATGTCCATGCAAACCCTGGAAAGTACATTATCGAAAGTCGATATGGAATGCACACGCTGGAAATTAACAAGTAAGAAAACATCAGGGTCTGTGTGTGTTGCCTTACAGTCACTCAGGGAGGCACCTCGCCACCCCAGTAACAGCTGCCCTCCCCCCTTGTTCCCAAATGCAGCATGATCACAATGGGGGCACACACATGCATTGCTTCTCTAGGTGCCCAGCTGAGAATTGTATGCATGACTCATTCTTACCAAGCCCACTTTACCTACTAAAGTGATCTTAAGTTTGAATTTAGTCAAAGATGAGAAAAAATTCACATCTTTTTATTTATCTCTTATATACTGGAGAGTTTTTCTTAGACATCAATAAGAAAATGAGTTACATAAATAGACATTAATATTCAATTATTTTTTAGTGTTCCAAATCAACATCATCATCATCATCATATTCTTTTGCCTTTACTTAATAAAGGCCATGAAGGTTGGGATGGGTGGCAATGAAAGAAAGTAAGCTGGACTAGGAGAAATTGCTCTTTCCTTCTGCTCACCAGGAACTGTGGAAAATGATGCATCTGCCTATCAGCCTGTAGATGGAGGCAGGGTGGACATTGGGATGTTTTTAAAGCAAAATTCGAAAGCAAAACCCACATTAAAATTTCTAAGTCCTCAAAAGTTTATCGTGTCTCCTCAGATGGTTTTGCAGTCCAAGCCTAGTTATGTGGACAAAAAAGTTAAACAAGCTCCCACCATCTTCAGTTCACATAAAACCATGACATGCTGAGATGTCAAAGTAAAACCTACAGCATTCTGATCTCAAGAGATTTATAGCCTTCTCTTCAGGTCAGAGCAATTGACACGTGATGCTGGGCTTCAAAGAGTTGCCTGGCACCATGTGACATTCACCAAGCTCTGACCCTGACCTCAAGTCACGTCAATTCTGCCGGTCAGTTGTTCTATAGAGACAACAGTGAGCTATGTGGTTGCTTGATAATTAAATAGTTATGAGAAATACAATTGCATTGACCTTCCTGGGGTTCTATTTATGTCTGTAAAATTTCAGCAAGAAATAAGTTTATATGACTGAAACTAAACTTTCAGGGACAATGAATAACACAGACACTGGTAGTGATAAGACACAAAACAACCTGCTTGGTAATCTTAGCCTGTTCATCTCTCTGTGAGATCATTGTCTCCCTAAATCCATTATTAAGACATCCCAATTTCTGTATTATAATTCAGAAACCTTCCAAATGGCAGTTCTTGTGTCATGCTGTGGGCCAAAACTCCAAGTGTGGCCTGAACCTTAGTAGAATTAAGGGATGAATAACTTGTTTGTACTTTGAGGCTAGAAACACGCATTAGGCCCACCTGGATCTGGTCTGGGCTGAGGGAGGCCGTGGAAGTCTACAAGGAGAGGTTGTTTCTTTCCCTGTCGCCCCCAGACTGAAACTCACCCTGAGGGAAGCCAGCAGGGAGGCTGTGCCCCCAGTTTATCTATCATAATGCTCTTCATGCTGTAATGTATGTGCTTAGCATTTTATTAACATTTTTTGGACATTAAAAATGAATCCGGGCAAGGGTAACAATGGACTATAGATCTTCTCCCAGTCTGTGCTGCTGCCTTGAATCTGCTGTAAATCTCTTGAGCTACATAAAATCCCACAGGGAGCCAGATCAGAGAGCAGCTTCTTCAAGAGTTCCTTAGAGCCACGCTAGCCACTGGCTTACGGTGTGCCGTGGTAGCAAAGAACCCTTGAAGGAGCAGCTAGTAATTACAGGGAGTGTCACTGTGACAGCCACGCATTTCTGTACGTTCTTCCAGGTGTGATTTTGAAGACACCGCTCAGTACCGGGCCTCGGCGATGAATGCTAAAGGAGAGCTTTCAGCATATGCCTCGGTTGTGGTAAAGAGTAGGTTTGCTGGACTTGTTTTATTCAAAATGCACCTTTTTATTATTTATTTGCATTGCTAAAAAGTAAATTAGAAGTTCACATGCATTTATGCTTTCTTTTCTAGGATATAAGGGAGAGTTTGATGAGACTCGCTTCCATGCTGGGGCTTCCACCCTGCCCCTCAGCTGTAAGTTTAAAAATGATTTGCTAAGTGCCATCTCCATTTAAAATACAGCATAATATGCTGTACACCTGAAACTAATATAATATTGAGTATTATTAAAATAGAGATAATAATAGCACTTACCTAATAGGGTTATTATGTAGCTTGAGTTAATAGATATTAAATACTTGGAACAATACTTGGCACAAATTGAACTCAATAAACGTTAGCTTGCCTTTTCAAATTAATACTAAGAGATCTTAGGAAGAGAGATGAAACATGAGACAAAGGGCCTAAGTGTTGGGAGTTGAGCAGTTATAGGTTTGAGTTTTAATTTCACATGTGATACCTTTGAAACCTTGTCATTAGCTGTATATTTGTGAACTTCTACATCCTATCTGGAAGAGAGGAAAAACTAATATCTATGCCAAGGATTAAATGGCATGCCAATGGTAGCTTGCCTGGCATATAATAACCCACAAATAAATAGTTGTTATTTTCTCAAGCCCCTTCCTTTGAGAAAAGAGAAAATAAAACCTGGGAGAGTTTATGATGCAGGCATTTACACAATCTATTAATAAGACATTTCTAAGAAAAATATTTTTAAAGTTACCATGTTTTAAGCTTTTTATTTTCTCTATTGACATTTCTTATAATATATCTTTTACTCAGATTTTTAAAGAAACTAAAGCAACTTACTGAAAAACTCAATTTTTATGATGAATTGATATAGCTATTTGTTCCAAGATTACAAGCAACAAAGTTTAAATGAACTCAGAATCTAAAATTAAAAAGTGCATATGTATATTGCAGCTAAGTCTAAGCTAAATGTGGTATTAATTTATGTTTTATATAAAATGACCTTTACATTATATTAATTATAAATAAGCTTTTTTGACCAATGAAGCAAGAATTTTCATGCATAGAATTTCCATTTCTCACAATGTACTTCTTTTATAAGACTTATTTTTTGCTTAGATAAATTATTTGATCAGTATGTGTTGTGACTGCTCTCTGCCTGTGGTTATTAAAATGCTTGTGTCTCTTTGATGAAAAGAAATACATTGCTGATATTTGTTTTTGTTGTACCCAGTTGCCGTGACCCCTTATGGTTATGCATCCAAGTTTGATATCCACTTTGATGACAAGTTTGATGTGTCTTTTGGGAGAGAGGGCGAGACGTTGAGTCTAGGCTGCCGTGTAGTTATCACTCCTGAAATTAAGCATTTCCAGCCAGAGATCCAGTGGTACAGAAATGGTGAGCCTTGATAATGAATTCTCACTTAGGTTCTTATTCACAGAAGGTCGCAGACTGGGATTGGCACCAGAGCATGAACGTCCATAAGACTGCAGATCGGTTTATCAGGGCTGGCAGGATTTGAATATTAGAGGATGTTTAAAAAAGTTTTTACACATATATCAAAGTAGCAGAACTTTCATAATATTTGTGAAAATTATAACATCATCAAGTAACATGGAAAGGATTACAAAAAATGTGTTTTTGCTGTTGTAAGTTGGATATACATTCATTTTGTAAGTTACTTTTGTTTAGTAAAATAAATGAAGTTTATAAACCAGTGGGACTAGGAAGCATGTCAGTTGTGCATGGGGTACCTGGGCAGTCTGGGGCAGCGTGGGGTCCCAGGGCAATGGCTGGGACCTGGACCTGGGCTTAGACTGAAACCAGCATGGCAGCAGCAGTAGCAGCACTGATGTGGACATGTCCCTAGAGGAGGAGAGGGGCAGCATGGGAGCCATCCGTGGAGGCCAGCTTGCCTGTCCATCCCCAGGACTTACCTTTGTGGCATCTGCATAGATATTAACTCCCTGGCCTGAACGCTGTCAAGAACTGCCAGCAATCAGGCAGTAAACTCTGTCAGTAAAATATTACAAAATAAATGTGTGTACGTAGACATTGCAATAAAGCACATAAGGTAGTTGTTAGGATTCTTCAAAGAATTTAGAATCTCTGGTTATGAAAATCGCCACAACATTGCAAAGCAACTATCTACAGACTTAGAAATAGAAACTAAGTTTAAAGATTGTCCCATTCAATGTAAAAGAACACTATTTTTGTATGAAATTTTGGATGAAGCAATTATTAACAAGAAAGACAATTTTTAAATTAATTTTTCCTCTTAATTGAAGAGATACTGATAGAATGCATAAATAGGTGTTTGAATTATATACAAACCATGAAGTTATTTTCAGTTTCTTGTATGACCACCACAAATTACGGGACATGTAAAGAAAACATTAAGATGCAATTATATAAATTACATTTAAATTAAATTTAGATATACATGAAACTTATTTGTATGGGAGTTAAATCTTTTTATAAAAATTATTTTTCAAGAATAATCAGCTCTAGAGTAGTAAAATTTATATTTTAAAATAGTTTATCAGAAAGTTAACTTTATAATATCCTAACTATATGGTACTATTTAATATAAATTTATGTAATACCATAAGTAAGTAACACTCTTAACAGCTGTAATAGTAGTGGCATCAGCAGAAAGATTCTCCTCAAAATAAAAAATGTTTAAATCTCCTTTGTGATCTTGCATTTGTAAAGCATGAGTGATGTTGCTTTCAATTACATCCACTTAAAATGAAATTATTAAAGGTATGAATTTGATGGCCTAATTAACTGAATTTGTAGAAAATCAAGCCAGAAATATTTATTAACAGTCAAGATATCACAGTAATAAAGTATTATTTTTTGTAAAATCATGGCACAAAAATATTAGTTCTTGCAGTTTGTATCATTCCTATTATATTTTATAAGTGATAAACTTTTTTAGAAGAAAAAGCCTTATACTTTTTAATGTACTTTTTTCTCTGCTTTTTGAACAAGAGGCCTTGCCATTTCATTTGCACTGGAGATTATGGATCTGGCACTGGTCCCTCGCTTCTGGTCTAGTATTTTTACCAATATAAACATGGCAGAATGACTCAAAGCCCTAGAGAATTGCTCTTATAGTCAAATAGCCTTCAATATGGAAGGAGAGGAATAGAGAAAGGGTAGAGGGGGAGAGAGAGAGCATTGGAGGGGAGAGAGGAAGAAGGGAGAAATAGAGAAAAAAAATCAGTTAATTTGTTGACTTCTCTCCCCAGGAATACCTGTTTCTTCATCAAAATGGGTGCAACCCCATTGGAGTGGAGATCGGGCAACACTGACATTTTCTCATCTCAATAAAGAAGATGAAGGCCTCTACACAATCCGTGTACGAATGGGAGAATATTACGAACAATATAGTGCTTACGTCTTTGTTCGAGGTAAGACCTAGCAGAAAGCATCTTTAAAGAATATTTAAAACACCGAGACCAAATCAATCTACCAAAACATGTTTTATGTAATGATAAAAGAGCCATTTGGAAATTCTTCCAGATTACATGGCATAGGCATATCAACTTCCAGACCTGATATAAAAAATTAACCCTGAAGGCACCAACCCAAAAGTTAACTAGTTTCAAAATTGTGTTATTATCCCTAATGTCAGTACCTTCCTCATCTTCAATGAGCCAACAGGTCAGTTCTCTATAGGTGTTCGAGTAGAGATGTTAAATCCTTTATGAAAAGCCATCTTAGTTTATGGGAGCTGCAACAAAAGGATGATGTGTTATTTGGGAACTTACTCTTTAATATCTATTTGGGGAGCAAATTTATTATTTCTTATCTTTTAAAAAAATAGTTTTAGCTTTAATGAACTAGTAAACAAAGTGCTAACAATTTAATTCTTTATTTTTTAAGACTTAAAAAAATAGATTTTTGGAGAAAGAGGAAGGGAGAGGGAGAGAGAGAGAAACATCCACGTGAGAGCAAGACAGTGATGGCTGCCTACCTGGGATTGAGCCTACAAGCCAGGCATGTGCTCTGACTGGGAATTGAACTGACAATCTTTCTGTTCACAGGATGACGCCCAACCAACTGAGCCACACCGGCCAGGGCTATAACTTAATTCTTAAGACAAACTATAGTCATCAATTTTAGGATACTTTCCTTTTTTTAGCAGTGTTTTGAATGGATCATATATGTACAAGTGGGAGTGTTATTTCTACATGAGGCCCTAGCACATTGGGAGGACCATTAATACCTCCAGGCTACAAGGGTGGTTTTCTGTGTTCTTTTATGTGATGGTCAGCCAGGTGTGGCTACAACAGGAGTCAGAGGAGAGGCTCAGGGAAACAGAGTATTTAATTTTATTTTTTATTTTTATATGTATTTTTTATTGATTTCAGAGAGGAAAGGAAAGGGAGAGAGAGAAACTTCAGTGATGAGAGAGACTCACTGATCAGCTGCCTCCTGCAAGACCCCTACTGGCATTTTAGTCTGAAACCCAGGCATGTAGCCTGACCAGGAATTGAACTGTGACCTCCTGATTCATAATTCGATGCTCAACCACTGAGCCACACTGGCCAGGCAAAACCGAGTATTTATACTTACAAATCCAGAGACAGAGGCAGGGCATACCGTTCAGGACCACATGGGAAAGAACCTGCATTGATTGGTCAGGAGGCAGGAGTTAGGGGAGAGCCTAGATCATGGCCTTTACTGAAGTTTCTGTGGGAAAAGCAAGACAGCAAAGCAGTTTAGGATCGAGTCGTGTGAATAATTTAGGGATGGTACCTAGTTACGTAGTACCTGGCCCTGGGATGATTAAGGCAGGGGAATATTTCCCCCTAGGGTGCATGGGCCAGACAAAAAAGGCCCGGCTCTGGATGAATTAGTTTACATATCAAAGACATGCTCCAGGCTGAGCCCTCTTTTATCTCCAAGAATTGGCTAGCTCCAGCCAGAAAGGTGTATAAGATGTCAAAATATTTGTTCAGAAAATAAAAATATAAACAATACAGGTTGACTTGCTAATTTTTTTAGACTTACCATGGGAATGGTCCAGATAGTTATCTTCAGTCTTGTTTTTCAGAGTCTTAGATCCCATCTGTGTTGTTCCACTACCCACTATGATGCTGTCCCATGATCCCATTCCAGTCTATGGGAAGAGGAGAGGAAGGAAATGGAAGAGGAGAGCAGAGAGGCACACAGCACTTCTGCATGTGAACACTTGGCCACATGCACACATCTCACAGTAAGGGAAGCTAGGATGTCTAGTCTCTTGTTGGGCAGTGTGTTCCCTGCTAAAGCTCAGTAGTTTAAGTACTAAAAGGAGGCAGGAAGAGTGGATACTGAGAACAGTTAGCAGTTTATACCACTTCAACAGCAATCATTGTTCATTGAATTTAGCCACTGACCAGCAACTGACAAAGATACACGAATATCTATACCAACTGAAAAATGTGTTAGATTTTCTCCTACATGAAAGCATTATGGGAAAAGTCATTATTGCCACAGGGAAGAAAGAAGCTAGCCTTCTGGGTAAATTGCAATGAAAACAGACACATGGGAATTTATCAGCAAGTAAGTTTCTTTAACCAAACCATCTGGATAAACCTGACTAAATGAGGACTGAATAAGCAAAGTCTTTGCTTTTGTTCTCAATTATCTTACCTGAACCAGAGAATATCCCTGGTGACCCCAAAATACTTAGTTATGCCTTGGTGATTTCTCCTGGACTCTTTCTGGGCACTCTGACATAGTCTAGAGTACCCCAACATTTTTCAGTGCCCACTCTCACAACTGTGGCTCTCTGTCACATTTAGGCCAAACTTCAGATAACTAACTATAGATGGGGGAGGGGGCGGGGGTAGGATTTAAATTAGAAATTTATACTTAAGCCAGTTTTCAAATTCATAAAATAAAGAAATGGAAAGACTCTAAAATTTGTCAGATATTGACATGAGAGAATTGAAAAGGTAAATAGGAAAGACAAAATTGGAAAGACAATTTCAGCAATTCCTGAATAAATTATGTATTTTAGATTCTTTTTTTAAAATCTTTTTTGAGGTATAATTTACATCTATAAGATTCAACCATGTTAAGTGGACAGTGCTTTTTAGAATATGTATGGACTTGTGTAACCATCATCCACAATCCAGCTTTAGAACATTTCTATGACACCAAGGAGATTTCTTATGCCCATTCCCCACTTATCCCCAGTCTGGCTCCTAGGCAACCACTAATCTGCTTTCTGTCTCAATAGATTCATCTTTTCTGGACATTTCTGTATATATGATCTTTTACATCTATCTTCTTTTCTTGAGCATATATTTTGAGGTTCATTATGTTAGTAGTTTGTTCCTTTTTATTGCTGACTAGTATTGCACTGTATGGATATGTCTCATTTTGTCTATCCATTCACCAGCTGATAGATTGTTTCTACTTTGGCTATTATGAATAAGACTGCAATGAACATTTGTGTTCATATTCATGGACCTAGGTCTTAATTTCTCTTGGGTAGATAGATACCTGTAAGTGGAATTGCTGTGTCATGTGTTAAATTTATATTTAACTCTTTAAGAAATATTTAAATGACATTTTATGTGTTTTTTAAAAAAAACTTTGTATCCATTAAGCTGCATGAGGCCATTTCAATGCTAGAGCTCTGGTATTTTTGCTGCTTAAAAAATAGTTTCCGAACTATAACGTGCAGTGTATAAAGCACCATATGTCATTTCCAAAGACATATGGTGCTTTATACACTGCACAAAGACATTCCAAAGCTGTGCTCATTTGGACAGGATTTTATTCCATAGATAATATGTGTTCTTCGTGGGGAAGAAAAGAGATAATATAAATAAGAAAAAAGAGAAAAGCCTTTCATTAGTTTACCATTCAGAGATATCCAGTGTTATAATTTTGTTACATAGCTTTCTAGACTTTTATATGTGGGGTGGGCAAATATAGGTTTATAGTTGTGAATACACAAAACAGTTTATTCTTGTATTATTATTTTTTAATTATTGTATTATTTTCCATACTAACAACTATAAACCTACTTTTGCCCACCCCTGTATTCTTTCCTCACCATTCCCTATAGAGAGAGGATGGAGGGAAGAGTTGATAATATGATAAAGAATGGGATAGAAATGTCATGAAAAAAGAATTACAAATGGCAAATAAGTATGTAAAAAAGTTATCATTAGCAATCAAAGTAATTAAAATGATATAATGTGTTAATCTATCATATTGAAAAGAATGAAAAGATTTTTTTATTAATTTTTATTTTTTAAAAATATATTTTATTGATTTTTTTACAGAGAGGAAGGGGGAGAGATAGAGTTAGAAACATCGATCAGCTGCCTCTTGCACAACTCCTACTGGGGATGTGCCTGCAACCAAGGTACATGCCCTTGACCGGAATCGAACATGGGACCCTTGAGTCCGCTGGCCGACGCTCTATCCACTGAGCCAAACTGGTTCTGGCAGTACTATATCTTGATGATGGTTGTGGATACACAAATTCACACATGATGAAATTCCATAGAACTACAAACACATACAGAAGTACATGTAAAACTGGTCGAATCTTAAAAACTAGTAGATTGTACCAATAACAATTTCCTGGTTTTGATATGGTACTATAGTTGTACAGGCTGTTCTACTGGGAGAAGCTGGGTGGAGGCACATGGAACAATGCTGTACATTTTTCTTGCAACTTCCTGTAAATTAGACTTATTTCACAATGAAAGGTATATTTATTTCACAATGAAAATAAATGCTGAGCCCTATCTGGTTTGGCTCAGTGGATAGAGCGTTGGCCTGTGGACTGAAGGGTGTTGAGTTCAATTCCGGTCAAGGGCATATACCTAGCATCATTCATAGTGCCCAAAAAGTGGAAACAATCCTGATGTCCACCAACTGATGAATGGATAAATAAGATGTAACATACCACACAATGGACTATGATTTGGCTTCCAGCAGCTGCTAAAGAGAAGCTGTTTTTGAAAGATCGTCAAGCCCACATCTTATAAGCAATTTTATAAAAGTGCTGAAAAATGACTCCCTAAGTGCCAACTGTTAAATACAATGGATGTTTAGTGAACTAAATTTCTTTTAATAAATCAATAAAAATATATTTTTATTGATTTCAGAGAGGGACTGTTAAATACAATGGATGTTCAGTGAACTAAATTTCTTTTAATGTATTTTAAAAAATATATTTTTATTGATTTCAGAGAGGAAGGGAAAGGGAAAGAGAAATAGAAGCATCAATGATGAGATAATCATTGATTGGCTGCCTCCTGCATGCCCAACTGGGAGTGAGCCTGCAATTGACTGGAATTGAATCTGGGACCCTCAGTTCGCAGGCCAATGCTCTATCCACTAGCCAAACCGGCTAGAGCTTAATTTTTAAAAAAATATATTTTTATTGATTTCAGAGACGAAATCACTCCCTGTTGTGTGGCATGTAGGCATTCTGCATTAGGTTTCAGGCACCGATTAGTTTTCCTATAGCAGGAGACATTTCCCCAGAGACACTTTCCTGCAGATCTCATGGGGCAAGAAATAGAATGTTCAAAATCGAAGTGACTTGAACTATTCACAGGTAATGTGCACCTATTAAATTGAGAAGTAGGCAAATATTTCTGCCCTGATATCAAATGTTTTAGTAACTCAGAAGACTTACACAAGTGTAGCAGATAGAAAAACAAAGTGTTTATTCAGTCAACAAGAGTGTTTTCCCTTGGGTAAGTGGCTCCTACATGGCTCAGCCTCCTCTCAGACTAACTCCAATTATGAAAGGGTTGACCAGATGTCAGAAGAAAGTGTCAAACGTGGATTCCTTCCCTCAGGGACTTTGCCTCCTGTCTTAATTGTTCTCATTTAAAAGGCTACTGATTATTTTTATTATTCTTCCTCTCCTCCTAAAAACATCCCTGATTCACCAACTTAGCTGTGCTTGAAGACACTGCTGAGAGGACTCCACTGTCAGAGGATCCCATTTCATAAAGAGTCACTATCCTCTGTTGCTTGTATAATCCTGGACTTTTACTAAACTTAGATAAGCCAAACTCAGATGTGGGTATTGCATCAGAGTTCCTTTCGCAAATATCTTCAGTTCGGGAACAAACATTTGATTGAAATGAATGTTTTCCTTTCTTTTCCAAAACAGTAGTGCCCAGCATAGGAATGGGCAAAGCTTCATGGTTCTTATTCTCTCGTGGATGCATCCAGAAGGTAACAGAGGGGGCTATTTGTTCCCCTTTGGAGCCATTCATAGTTTCTGAGTAACATTACACAATACATATCTTAAGAACAGACTTTCTGGCACAACTTACATTTAACTTTTCTGATAGCAATCCTCGACATCTACATATTTATTTTCTTTTAGAACATTTGGACAGTCAAGGGCCATGAGGCAAAGGGCATGGGTCCTTTTTAGAGCCCTTTCTAACATAATGTTCTTTGTACTGATGGTGAAAAGCACACATTGTTATGTTGGTAAGTGAATTACAAGCCTGAAGCTTGCTCTACTGGGGTCAAAGATGTAGCCACTGAAATGTGTGCACTAAGAACTCAGTCTGAGGGCTTCAGAGCACATCTAAGAGGGCTAATGGGATCCTTCTGTATCTCCACAGATGGTGATGCAGAGATTGAAGGAGCCCCAGCCTCTCCCTTGGATGTGGTGTGCGTGGATGCCAACAAAGATTATATCATCGTCACCTGGAAACAGCCAGCTGTGGATGGAGGGAGTCCTATTCTGGGATATTTTATTGATAAGTTAGTACTTAGTCTAACTTTAGTTAGAGTGATTTGGCCATAGAGATGCATGCTTGATTTCTCCCACCATTTCTATGTGAAATATTTTCTTTTCTGGTCTCCTCTCACTCCTTCTCCCTCTCCCTCTCTCCCTTTCTCTCTCTCTCTCTCTCTCTCTCTCTCTCTCTCTCTCTCTCTCATATAAATACATTTACATATATATGTATATACACATGTAAATGTGTATATACATATATATGTGTATGTATAGATGATGTAGACTGATATAGATATAGCTATAGATAGGTATATACCTAAATTCTCAGAGAGCAGCCCGGCTGTGCGTGTTCTTTCTGCTCCACCATGCTGTAGACAGCTCCAGAGCAGCGGCTCTCCGCCTTTGTCCTGCCCACAGGAGGGTTAGGAAGCATGCTGTAGGATCATTGGGTCACCACGACAGAATCTACAGAGAGAGGGTAGGGGACAGGGGCAGTTTGGAGAATTGTCCTAGCCTCACACATTCATTTATAACAGCTCCATAATTTCTACAAAGGAAGATTTAGGGGAAAAGTGGATGTAAGGCAAGGAGTGAAGCTATATTTGCTAACACTTTACATAAAGTTGAGGAAAATATTTATCTCAAAGAGGAAGGGTGATGGTAAGGAAATAAAGATAAATACCCCACTACAACCACCTTTGCATTGCCATTGGAACCACCCCCCCGCCCCCATGAGGATCATTTGGGAATTATACATGTTGGACATAAAGCTGTGTTGGGGAAGTGATATAAATGAAAAGTCCAGTACTCTACTCATGAAAAATGATGAGTTACTTCAATCACATGTTGAGCCTCTAAAGCCCTGTGGATCAGGCTATAGCATGATAGAACTCACATCTTTGTCTCCTGGGGTGTAGCCACTCTATCCCCAGGCATCAACTGTTGAAAAGCACCCAGTTAGAAATCTGAGGTTTCAAGTGTTTAAATCCAGGCCTGGGAATTTCACTGCATCTCATGAATCTCATCTGCTAAGAAACAATTACAGTACCCTCCTTGCCCTCCCACCTGCACAGCAGGCAGTGACCATCAAGTGAGCTCTCTCTAAACTACAGTACAGATAAGTATCTTTTAAGGTGCTAACTTTCTCAGCAATAGTTCCATAATTTAAACAAAAATGCCTAAAGAAGTCACTAATGGTGGAACTGAAGACATCAGCCAGGCAGATATTTGACCAATCCTCCCCCTTAGTCTATTCAATGTAGAGACTGTACATACCAGCCTGCTTCTCTCCCCCAACCCCATCCCAGATCATATCTCCTCTACTTAACACCCAAGGCCCTTAGCTGCATATTTTTAGTGTGGTCAAATGACATGTCTGTGTCAAGAAGGAGCTGAGCTTCTTTTTCTTGTTAGAGAAGATACATTACAGTTGAGTGGAATTGAGTTCAATTAAATAACTATTGAACCGCACTTGAGCTGGATATTTTGTAGAAAAATCTGAAGCAACTGGGTAGGTTTGCAGCATTGGAACTATGAATTTAGCCATACTTCTCTTAATATTCTTATTAATCGCTCTTTTTTTCCTTAGATGTGAGGTGGGCACAGATAGCTGGTCTCAGTGCAATGACACACCTGTGAAGTTTGCTCGTTTCCCAGTCACTGGATTGTTAGAAGGTCGTTCTTATATATTCCGAGTACGGGCTGTGAATAAAACTGGAATAGGTCTACCATCTCGTGTTTCTGAGCCTGCAGCTGCTCTGGATCCAGCTGAAAAAGCAAGACTTAGAAGTAAGCATTTTTCATTTTCTAGGGTCTTCCTGAACCTTTTTTTTTTTTTTTAATAGAACTACAGATCTCATTGCAAAGTTATTCCTCCTCCTTCCACTAGAGGGCACAGAGAATAAGAAATCCTTTATTGATCAGAAAATCCTTAAGGTGGGGAGGAGGACTGAGGAGCATGAGAACAGAAAAGTATTTGTTTTTTGACTCATCTATTCACTATTAATATCTCAGTACAATGAGTTTCTTTATATTAAAGGAAAAACAACACTATATCTGATCTATACTTGAGTTTCCTTATAGACAGTCAAAAATAATCTCTTCATCCAGTTAGCCTCCAAGTATCGACGCCAAAACTACGGTACATGAATTATGCTCTGCATTTGTTTCATGGGAACCCATATGGCACCCTCAATAAAAGGAACCATAAACTGGCATTAGAAGAATTGTTGTAAATTAACATTTCACTCTATACCAGATTTTTCAACCTTGGTCCTGTTGATATTTTAGGCCAGATAATTCTATGTTATGGGGGGGTCTACACTGTCCATTATAGGATGTTAGCAGCGTCCCTGGCCTCTACTTACTACAAGCCAATAGCGCTCCCCCACCCCCTCCGCCCCTTGTGACAAAATTATCTCCAGACATTACCAAATGTCTCTGGGGAGCAAACTCACCTTAGATGAGGACTACTGGTCTGTGGTTTATTTGCAGTATTGTTGTTGTTAATTTTCACCCAAGGATATTTTTCCATCGGTCTGTGGTTTATTTGCAGTATTGTTGTTGTTGTTGTTGTTGTTAATTTTCACCCAAGGATATTTTTCCATTGATTTTAGAGAAAGTGGAAGGGAGAGGGAGAGACAGAGAGAAATATCGATGTGAGAGAGACACATCAATTGGTTGCCTCCTGCACACACCCCAATCAGGGCCTGGGAACCTGCAACCAAGGTTAGTGCCCTTGACCGGGAATCAAACCTGGGACCCTTCAGTCCACAGGCTGATGCTGTATTCACTGAGCCAAACTGACTAGGGCTGCAGTGTTACTTTTTTTTTTTTTTACCTTAAGTACATGTAGTAGCATCATAAAATAATGCTACTTTTTCTCTGGAGACTTTTTCTAATCACACTACTTGATAGCTCTCTGATCACTTTTCACCTAACATCCAGCTTCTTTCCTAATTCCATCTCATACATTCATTTACTCTTTTTCTATAAATTCCAATAAAAATAAGATTTCTTTGAGCTGAAATAAGTTATACTGTTTATTACCTTTCTGTTTTTGCACAAAATCTGGTCAAAAGTCCTTTGATTAGAGCAGGAGTTGAATAATTTTCTCTTTCTGGTATCTGTGGGATCACAGACATGAATTTCCTTTTTAAGTATATACTCCTCATCTCATCCATTTCCCCCACTCAAGATCTAAACTGGTTTCCTTTGTAGACAACAGTTTTTGAATGCAATGGCAAGAAATTGCTTTTGTTGAGCTTTACCGCACCATCAGCGCTCCTCTCCTCTTTCATCTTTGTTATGACAGATAAATAGCTACTGGGCTTGCAATTGTTCCAGAAAGGTTTCTCCCTTAAGAAGGTATGAGAGAGCCTAGATGTTTCAGGAGATCTATATGGAACAGTAATTGAATACAGGTTATTTACCGCCCTTGTGTAAATACAATTCTAGAAATGGCGACTCAGTTCAGGTGGGTTCCAAGCTCCAGCAGATTGTGAATTCTTCAAGGACACAATACCATATACATGCTCAGTAAGATTCTTTAGAACAATACATAAGTCAACTAGTAACAAAGCCATTTGTGACTAACCTGACCAGTTAATCAGTTTATAAGTGCAGTTGAAACTGCTGTTGTGAATGTTTGCAATTTTAATTTTTATCTCTGTTCAGGTCACCCTTCAGCACCCTGGACTGGACAGATCATTGTCACTGAAGAGGAACCTAGAGGTAAAAGCTACATTTTCCTCAAATACTATTGCCAGTGTTTTGCTTTGCTGGTTAGCTGTAGTGGATGGTACACTGCATATTAAGATGTTTTGGAAAGAACATTCTGAAACATTTGGATATCATAAAGTAACTTATATTGTCAGAGAAACACTTTTCCTAAAGCGTTTTATTGAGATATAATTGACATACACTAAACCACATGCCTGTAAAATGTACAATTTGACGATATTTACAGATGTGTTCACGTGTGAAACCTGTGATCCGAATAATGAACATATCCATCACCCCTAAAATTTCCTCACATCCCTTTGTAATACCTCCCTTTCATTTCTTCCCCATCTCCAGGCCATCACTGATTTGCTTTCTGTCACTGTAATTTGCATTGCCCGCTATTTTAGATAAATGGAATCATACTCATTTTTGTCTGATTTCCTTTACTCAGCATAATTATTTTTAGTTTTATTCATGTTGATGTTTGTATCAATTCATTTCAGTTTATCCATTCACCATTGAAAGTTTCTATGAAAGCTTTGTGAAGTGTTTGTGTGACGTATGCTTTCATTTCTCTTGGATAAATACCTATGAGTAGAATGGATAGGTCATATGGTAGGTTTATGTTTAATTTTTAAGAAACTGCTAACTGTTTTCCAAAATAGTTGTACCATTTTACATTCCCATCAGTAGTTTCTCTATGGGAGTTCCCCAGTTGCTCCACATTGTCACCAGTACTTGGCATGCAGTCTTTTAAACTTTAGACATTCTAGTAGTGTATAGTGGTATTTCATAGTGTGGGTGCATAGTGGTTTCAATTTGCATTTCCCAAGTAACGTGGAATTTGATTGCATGTTTGTGGATCTATTTCTGCAATCTCTATTGATAAATTTTATTTTCTCTTTTATGTAGCTATATAAGCCTTATGGGTGTTTTTATTTTTTAAGTTTCATAGTTTTGAAATCAGATAGTATAAGTCCTCTAATCTCCCCTCCCCCCAAGTTTATTTGGCTATTCTAAGTGTTTGCATTTTTATGTAAAATCTAAAACCAGCTTATAAATTTCTACAAAAATCTGCTGGGATTCCAATTGTCTTTTATATCCTTAACTAGAGGCCTGATGCATGAAATCTGTGCAAGAGTAGGCCTTCCTTCCCTCAGCTACCAGCACTGGCTTCCCCCTGGCACCCGGGACCTGGGCTTCCCTCTGGGACTGGGCTTCCCTCGCAGCCCCGGCTTCATCCAAAAGATCATCCAGAAGGATGCCTGGTCTAATTAGCATATTATGCTTTTATTATTATAGATGGCTTTCTAGCTACTGTTCTATCAATTATTGCTAGTGATGAAACCTCTGATTAAATGATATATTTATCAGTTTCTTTTTTTAGTTCTACAAGGTTTGCTTCATGTGTTTTGATGCTGTTAGGAGATGCATAAACATTTTTATTGTTATATTCTCTTATGAATTGACCACTTTATTATTATGAAGTAAGTCCCTTTATCCATAGTAATGTGTTTTTTCCTTCTTGGAAATCTACTTTGCCTGGTATTAATATAACCTTTCAAGTTTATATTGATTAGTTTTAGCATGGCATCTGATTTTCATCCTTTTACTTTTAATTTATGTGTGTGTTTATATTTAAATCATGTTTCTTGTAGGCAGTATAAAAAAGCTAGATCTATGCAATCTGGTAATCTTTGCCTTTTCATTGGGGTGTTTGAGCCATTTACATTTTGTGTGATTATTGATATGATTTGACTTAAACCTACCATCTTGCTATTTGTTTTCTGTCTATTCCATCTGTTTGTTTCCCTTTTCGTCTTTTTCTACTTTCTTTTGTATTAAGTATTTTTTATTATTTTGTTTTCTGTGTTATCTTATTAGCTATAATTCTTTGTTTTACTTTATAGTAGTTTGGAATTTATACTATACATTGTGTCAAAACTTATCTTCAAGAAATATTATATTACTTCACAAGTAGTATAAAAACTTTCAATGGTATTATTTCATTTCCCCTCCGAACCATGGTGCTATAGTTATCATATATTTTATTTGTGTATTTATTTTAAGTCATACAGTACAATGTTATTATTTTTGTTCAAATCATAGCTTATCTTTCAAAAAGACTTAAAAAGTAAGAAAAAGTTTTCGATATTCACTCATTTTTATCATTTCTGTTGCTCATTCATTTCTTTGTATAGATCTCAATTTCCATCTGATATTACTTTCTACCTAAGACATTTCATTTAATATTTTTTGTAGTGCTGGCTTGATGGTTATGACTTATTTTATTTTTTCTTTGATGAGTCTCTATTTCATCTTCATTTTAAAATATGTCTTCACTGTGTGTATGATTCTGATGGACAGTTTTTTAAAAATATATTTTTATTGATTTCAGAGAGGAAGGAAGGAGAGAAAGGTAGAAACATCAATGATGAGAGAGAATCATTGATTGGCTGCCTCCTGCATGCCCCCCACTGGGGATCAAGCCCACAACCTGGGCATGTGCCCTGACCTGAATCGAACTGTGTTCTCCTGGTTCATAGGTTGACACTCAATCACTGGGCCACACCGGCTGGGTATCCTTTTCTTCATTGGTGTTTGACCTGCTGTGAATTCCAGCCAGTGGTGTTTTTTTCTTTTTAAATCTTTGAATTTGTGTATCATTTTAATATTTTTCATGTTCTTAATTAACATGTTCAATCTTTATCTTCTTGGACATATGGAATATATTTATAATAACTTCTTTATGGCCTTGTCTACTAATTCTATCATCTGTGACATTATCTGGTTTTGTTTTTATTGATTGATTTTTTTGTCCTCATTATGGTTTGTGTTTTCTTGCATACTTGATTTTTTTTTTTTGTGAGATGCCAGACATTTTGAATTTACATTGTTTGGTGATGGATATTTTTGTATTTTTATAAATACTCTTAAGCTTTGTTCTGGGGAAATAATCCTATCAAGGCTTGCTTTTGTTGAGTGTAATCAGAAAAGACTTTAGTCTAGTAATTTGGCCTCACTACAGAGGAAATGCCCTCCTGAGTACTGTTCCGGATGCCCCATGAATTAGGAGATTTCCATTCCGGCTGGTGGGAACATGAATTCTCTCAGGCCCAACGTGAGCTTTGAAGATTGTTCCCTTCAATTCTTTTGTGTGGAATCCATCTCAGGTGGATTCCTCACATGTATGAGCTGATCAGCACTCATGTTTGCATTCCAGAGGGACCCTCTGCAGATCTCTGAAGCCTCGCTCTCTGGGCAGCCCTTTCCTCCAGTGGTGTTCATCCCTATGATTCTTTCTGTGGATGCTTTACCCTCCTGGGAAGTCCAACTTCTCCTCTACTCGGGGAGACTGCCAGGCTCTACCTGGGCTCCTCTTCGTGAGCTGCTGCCTTGAAACTCTCTCCACACAGCAAGCTAGGACTATGGCAGGACTCGCCTAATTGTTTCCTATCTATAGGGTATCATTGCCCGATGTTGACTAATATCCAATGTCTGTAAACAGTCATTTCATATATTTTGCTCAGTATTGTAGTTGTTTCACATGGAGGGATCACTTTGATGTCAGGAACCACGGAGGGTCTAAAAGTTTACCCTACTTGTGAGCTAATGTTTCCTATTAGTTTCACAGATACTGGCAAGAGACATGAGACTCCTGAGTCTCTCCTCACAGCACTGCAGACAGCATGAGCTTCATATTCTCTTTGGTTTCCCTTGCCCCTCCCCACCAACCCCACAGGGTTATGTGGGCAGCAGAGGTGGATGCTGCACACACAGATTTGTGTCTCAGCTGAGAAGCCTTACACCTAGGAAACCACAATCTTATTAGGGGGCGTCTACCAAACCTAACCAAACTTTCTCTGGAGAACTATATCACCTTTTGTTATCCTGGTCAGAAAACAGTCAACTCTTTGCCCTAGAGCCGTGGTTGGCAAACTGCGGCTCGCGAGCCACATGCGGCTCTTTGGCCCCTTGAGTGTGGCTCTTCCTAAGCCTTAGGAGTACCCTAATTAAGTTAATAACAATGTACCTACCTATATAGTTTAAGTTTAAAAAATTTGGCTCTCAAAAGAAATTTCAATCGTTGTACTGTTGATATTTGGCTCTGTTGACTAATGAGTTTGCCGACCACTGCCCTAGAGGATATGCTGTCTATATTCCAACGTTGTTTGCTATTCAAACATCCTTGAAAAGATATTCTATTTTAAAAAAGCTAATAGAAGTTGTGCCCCACCCTGTACTGTAGTAACTCTGTATTGTGTCAGGTGGGTACTAGGAAGAGGGATCACCTTGTAAACTATATAAATGTCTAACCATATGTTGTACAACTGAAACTAATATATTATGTAAATTGTAATTTAAAGAATGAGAAAACTTTAATCAGTCAATCAATCAATCAATCAATCAATTGCATTAGAAAACTATTATTCCACTCCTTTTGGTAAATATATAAAAGATAACTTGTGTCATTACAGCTGCTTTTTAGGACTAATAAAGAAATTAAAATTGTCCAGCAAAGAAAGTAAAACTGTGGCTTTGAATTAGGAATGACTGTCTCAGGAGGAATTTTGGAAACAAGGTACTTCTTTATCCTACGAAGCAGTAACTAAGTCTTCCTTCAGCGATAAAGAAACATCTGTGCCTGAGTGTCCTGGGTTTCCCAGAGTGTGTGCCCCTCACTTTCCTTGTTGTTTTTCAGAGGGTATTGTTCCTGGACCTCCCACAGACCTCTCTGTCACCGAGGCCACCCAGAGTTACGTGGTGCTGAGCTGGAAACCCCCTGGCCAGCGTGGCCATGAGGGCATCCTGTACTTTGTGGAAAAGGTAAGACTCTGGGATCAGCATTATTACCTCATGCCACTTTCTGAAGACTTCTTTTAAAAGCAGAGATTAAATTTTCATTTTGTCTCGAACTCTTTAAAACTTTATAAACTGTGAACAACCTCCACAGAAAAATATATATCACACAGAACTTTGCTGGAAAGTTGAGGGGATTTCTGGACCCTAAGACTCATCCATAGATTTCTAAGAGGTCCACGGACCCCAAATCATGATCCCTTTATGAAGAGAGGTTCCTGAAACTGCAGATTTCCTGTAGCACACTGTTTTCTGGAGACTTTCTCTGCCTCCCTTGCTCTAGTGATGGCTTTTCACCTCTCTACCCCTTGTCCCTCTGCAGTAGGGAATGAGCATCAGCAAGGGTAGATGCGTGAGAGGAGTAGAAGTTAAAATACTTTCTAATGGCTGAGAGAGTTGAAGACAGAAAGTCCTCGCATGCTGCCACACATTTGACCAGCACTACTCTATGTGCAGTTTGTAGGATGCGGTCAGAAATTAAAAAATAACATAACATATTGGCTAGTTCTTTCCCTCAAATATCTTACAAGTATATTGTACTTCGTTAGAAAGGGCAGCATACAATGCAGGCCTAAAATGAGTGAAATCATGAGAATTGTTTGTGAATCTATCATATACTCATACTTGAGGAGAGTTCTAGGAAGTATTTATGCCCAGAAAATGGAGAGGAGCCAATACCTGCACGGGCCATTATTTGGTGAGCTGCCCCAGCTGCAAAGGCAGATACATAGGAGACCTTGCCAGGCATAGGGCCTAGGAGTGGGAGAAGTTCTTGGCCAACAGGATAATTGCTACTAGAAAAGAGTATGTAAAGAGAATTTGACTAAAATGAGGTTTAACTCTTATAGATCATTGGTGGAATGTAAATTGGTCCAACCACTAGAGAATACAATATAAAAGTTCTCAAAAAATTAAAAATATGTCTACTGTCTATCCAGCAATCCCACTTCTGGGTAGATGGAAACAGGATTTAAAGAAAGCACCCAGGCAAAGAAATCAAATACTGGCTACATTTAAAGGTAAATTCCATAGATAAGGACACTAACTTCACAAGTAGTACTGGAGGTGACTCAGTGTCTTAAAAAAATACATGGCATGGGGGTGGCAGGAGGAGGGAGATGAAGAAAACATATCAAAGCAAAACAGGATTTTGATGAGATATATGCATTTCCATGTTTATCGTAGCATTATTTACAATAGCCAAGATATGGAAACAACCTAAATGCCCATCAGTGGATAAAAACGATGTGGTAGTACATATACACAATGGAATATTATTCAGCCATGAGAAAGGAGGATATTCTCCAGTTTGCAAACAACGTGGATGGACCTTGAGGACATTATGCTAAGGGAGATAGGTCAGATAGAAAGCCAAGTACTGTATGATATCACTTATATGTGGACTCTAAAAAAGTAAACTGTTAAAAGCAAAGAGTAATATTGTGGTTACCAGGTAATGGAAAGGGAGCATAAGAGTGATAGTGATTAAAGGTTCAAACTTGTAACGAATAGTAAGTAAGCCATGGAGATCTACTGTATAGTATCATGAACATAGACAATAATATTGTACCATAATTATGCAATGTGATAAATATTGCTATATTGGCAACTATATTACAATATAGAAATGTATCAAAGTAACATGCTGTACACCTTAAATTTACACAATGTTATAAGTCAAATATATTCAATAAAAAATAAATATAATAAATTAATTAAAGAGGTTCAAAGTCCATTTGTTAGAAAAGTTTTGATTAAGATATAATTTTTAAAATGAAATACAAGTAAGTTTATATATAAGAATATTTACATTTTTATTGGCAGCTCTGCACCATTTTTTAGAACAATCAATGAGACAAGCGTTTATGCTTTTTTGTGTATTTTATTTATTTTTTACAATGCGGTATTATTAACTATAGTCACCAGGTTGTACATTACCTGACATTTTATACCTGGAAATTTGTATCTTTTGAATCTCTTTACCCATTTTGCACAACTCTCCACACCTAGCTTCTGGCAACCATCAATCTGTTCTCTGTATCATTGAGTTCGGTTTTGGGGAGGATTGTTTGGGATTGTTGTTTTTTTTGTTTGCTTGTTTTTAGGTTCTACATGTGAGATCATACAGTATTTGTCCTTGAGAGAAAATTTTATAAAAGTGTGAAATAGCTTGATAACATATTATTTACTTTACAATTTATTGTCACAGCAAAATCAGAGAAAATATATATTTTTGCAAAAATATTGTGGAGCTCAATTAACTTTCCTAAAAGCCCCTCTCTTTTATCTTAATGCTATTCTGACCATTTAATTTCACAACTCTAATTAGGTCACCTTTCCTGACTATTATTATAAGAGAATAAATATAGCTACAGATATATAGGTATATACAAATTATGTAAAATCATAAAATTGATATGTAAACATCTTTATGGCTTTTTAATTATTTCAAATCCGTGGCTCTTGAGAAAAATGTACTGGAGCTTAAAATGCTAGGGTCTGTGGTTTCCCTTTATTAATTTCTTTTCTTTGATCAGGACATTTAGCTCAGCCTTTGAGGAGGATGCCTCACTTCCTTCTTATCCCTAGTGAATATTTTTTTCTTCTAATGGAGAGCAAGAATAGAATGATAAATGTTCACCCCCTATTGTGTTTAATACACACCCTCACTGAATCTGTTTGAAGTGCTCCACAGGAAGAGAGTTCTGAATAAGCACTGTGACAGCAATTACAATCTTTTCTGTAGGAATGACATAGTAACCACCGAGTTCTGAGGCAGTTTCTCCCGATGAGTCAGTTGGCTTCTGTTGAACATGTCCTCTGGCCACATAAACTGATTTCCCCACCAAAGTCTGTAACTCCCCTAAGTTTCGCTCCTCGTCATTTCAATATAGCATTAAGGGAGGGGAAAAATGGATTCCTGGCCTGGGGCCACTGTCTCCGTGGAGTTTGTAGGTTTTCATGTCTGTGTAGGTTTTCTCCGGGTACTCCAGTTTCCTGCCACGACTCAGAGATTCATGTGAGATGAATTGGTGTGTCTGAAGTGTCCCAGTCTGAGTGAGTGTGGGGGTGTGAGTGGCCCTGTGACAGAATGGTGTCCTGTCCAGGGTCCCTTCCGGCCTTGTGTCTTGAGCTGCCAAGACAGTATCAGGTTGCCCACAACCCTGAACTGGAATAAGCAGGTTGGAAAAGCATTATCTTACTTGTTTTTATTAATCATTCTTAAATCTGTGTCTAGCTCACATTTATTTCAGTGTTTAATATTAGATGTGTTTTAGGTCTTTATTTAGAAATTTGGTGTTTTTTTGTGACAGAAATATGCTGTAGAAATGTAATTCTTTTTAAAAAAATATATTTTATTGATTTTTTACAGAGAGGAAGGGAGAGGGATAGAGAGTTAGAAACATCAATGAGAGAGAAACATTTATCAGCTGCCTCCTGCGCACTCCTTATTAGGGATCGCCCGCAACCAAGGTACATGCCCTTGACCAGAATCGAACCTGGGACCCTTGAGTCTGAAGGCTGACGCTCTACCCACTGAGCAAACTGGTTAGGGCAGAAATGTAATTCTTGTTTATATCAATTAGCCTGTGATAAAATTGTTTTCATTATACATCCTTTCGCTTAAAGTTGCAGTTTCCACGAACCTGTCGGCAGTGTTAAGTGAAGGCTCACTGTGTAGCCCGAGTAGAGAGGCTTGTACAGGCACAGGTGGCACATTCAAAAAGTCAGAGATGTTAAGGTGTTAGGGGAACAGCACAGGTCCTGGGCCACATTCACAGAACCATCCACATGCCAGATCCTCTGAGCTGAGTCTCAAATGATTTCTGATAACTGCTTCCCATACATTGACCTCTCAAAGGGGAAATGCTCCTGTGCTCTTGTTCTGTGGCAAATTTCCATCTCCAGAATGTTCAGGCCCACAGCAGTGCTGCCCCTTTGGTTATCGCCATGCCTGCACTTCTCCGTGGAGCTTTTTACCTGGGATTTGCATGCACATAAAGCACTTGCCTGTCATGGCCACAGGCTTAACATCAGTTACAGCATGTCCCTAAGCCCTGAAATGGTTGAAATGAGGGGTTTATTAGCAAGGGAATCGGATGAATTGGTCTCTAGGGCTCCCAGCCTCCCTATCCTACTGTGGTCTTTTCCTTGGGTGTCTTATGTCTTGAGCTCTTCCTCTCATTCCCCTGTCAAAATCTGGTCATGTCAGAGACAGGGACAGCATCCCTCAATAGCTCTGTTTCTACCAGCAGGAATGTTGCTCAGGACCAGGCACTGTTTATAGCACTGCACGCCTGTCAACCCACTTAATCCTTATGGTAATATGGTAACGGAAATACTTTTATTTTCATCATGCTTATTTCGTAGATGAGGAAATTGAGGCACCCGTGGGGTAGATAATTGACCCACGGCCACACAGTTAGTAAGAGGCAGAGCTAGGATTTGAACCCCACAGTCTGGCTCAGGTTCATATACACCCAACTATTACACATTGCTGCTTTTAAACCTCCCCAAGCCTAAGTCCTCCCCTCAGGAAAACTTTGATAATCACAAAATACTACCCCCACAATGCCTACTTCAGAGCATAGTTAGAGGATTGAAGACTGACAATGGTGAATAAAGCTCTTTGCACAGTGAAAGGCAGCTATTATTTTTATTGAGAAAGTATAAATGACTGATAATTGCTTCTGTGTTCCCCAGGGGAGAGTATTTCAAAATGAATGAAAGCCATAAACTAACGGATTAAAAGCATGGGAGAATTTTATTCCTCAGTGGGCAGCAGCTCGACTAGGGGGAGTTTACACTCTCTACCCTCACACACACAAATGACATTATCATGAAAGGCACTGCAAGGATTTTAGAGGTTACCCTCTCAACTCAAATAACAGGAAATACATAAATAGCCCTGAGATGCCCTGCCTAGAGTTCCCATTTATTCCTGCCGTGCTTTCAATGGGTCTCACTGTTCTGGCTGCAGTGTGACATGGAAACAGAAAACTGGCAGCGGGTGAACACAGAGCTTCCCGTGAAGTCTCCCCGTTTCGCTCTGTTCGACTTGACTGAGGGGAAATCCTACCGATTCCGTGTCCGCTGTTCTAATTCAGCAGGAGTTGGTGAGCCCTCAGAGGCAACGGAAGTGACTGTGGTTGGGGACAAACTTGGTAAGTGTAGAGCTTGGTTGAACAGCTATAAACTTATTTTACTTCAATTCAAGGGAAAATTCCAAAGCAAAAATTTTATTAGAATATATATATATACTCATCATATTTATACATATTACGAAGTAAAAGTGGTGACATCTTTCTTATCTATTATAAATTTAATTGATGACTATATTTGACAGATACATTTTTAAAATTTATTATTATGTATATCAAATTTTGAAAGTAAATTTCTTCAGGAGTTTCAACAGTGTTGATAATGTATTTTTTCTGGAGTGGGTTACTGTGTTCCTGGGTATTTGGTTTATCATCATTCTCTCAACCTAATATATTTATTAGTTTTAACAATCCTGTATAATAAAAGGGTAATATGCAAATTGATTGAATGGCAGAATGACTGGTTGCTATGACGTGCACTGACCACCAGGGCACCAGGCCTCTAGTATATTATAAAATAAAGCAACCATATATTTGATATGATTAGTTATATAAAATTTATGTGTGTGTGTTTGTTCACATGTGTTAAGAATGAATTTTTTAAAGTGACCTTGAGTTCAACATTATTTTTCTCTTTTCTCAGATATCCCCAAGGCTCCAGGCAACATCATCCCAAGCAGAAATACAGACACATCAGTGGTAGTTTCATGGGAGGAATCCAAAGATGCTAAGGAGCTGGTTGGCTACTACATAGAGTCTAGTGTTGTTGGCTCTGGCAAGTGGGAGCCCTGCAACAACAACCCGGTGAAGGGCCCACGGTAACTGCACTCTGTGTATGTGTGTGTGTGGTCAGGTGGTAGGGACATTTGACTAGAGCTACAGAGGCTGTGAAGAGGAAATACAGCCATGGACCCACACAGCAGCAAAAACATCCAATGGAGGGATTTTAAAAAATAGTTCAATACTTCCTTATAATTTTTATTGGGTGACATTGGTTAACAAAACCGTAAAAATTTCAAGTGTACAACTCAATAAAACATCATACTGCATACTGCGTTGTGTGCCCATTACCCAAAGTAAAGTCCCTTTCTGTCCCCATTTATCCCCTCTTTGCACTTGTCCACCAACACCCACCCCCTTTCCCTCTGGCTATCACCATTTATTGTCTGTACCTATGTGTTATATATATTATTTTCCTTTTATATATATTATTTTCTTTTTGCTTAACCCCTTCACCTCCTTTTCATCTACCACTTACCCCGCACACACAGCCTCCAGCCTACTCTCTACATCCATGCCTCTGCTTCCACCCTGTTTGTTAAAATATTTTGTTCATTCGATTACACATATAAGTGAGATCATATGATATTTGTCTTTCTCTGACTGGCTTATTTTACTTAGGATAATACATTACAGGTCTATCCATGCTGTCACAAAAGGTAAGATGACTTTTTTTTTTCCACAGCTGAGTAGTATTCCATTGTGTAAATGTACCACTGCTATTTTTTTAAAATCCTCACTTGCAGATATTTTTTCTATTGATTTCTAGAAGGGAAGGAGGAGGGAGAAGATAGAGAGAGAAACATCCATGTGAGAGAGACATATCGATTGGTTGCCTCCCGCACACACCCCTACAAGGGCTGATAAACCTGCAACTGAGGTGTGTGCCCTTGACTGGGAATCAAACCCGAGACCCTTTGGTCCACAGGTCGATGCTTTAGCCACTGAGCCAAACCAGACAGGGCTACCACTGCTTTTTTATTTACTCATCTACTGATGGACACTTGGGCTGTTTCCAGATCTTGGTTATTGTAAATAATGCTGCAGTGAACACAGGGTTGCATATATTTTTTCTAGTTAGTGTTTTAGATTTCTTCAAATGTATTCCCAGAAGTAGAATCACTGGGTCAAAAGGCAGTTCCATTTTTCTTATTTTGAGGAAACTCCATGTTGTTTTCCACAGAGGCTACAGCATTCTGCATTCCCACCAGCAGTTGTACTAGGGTTCCCTTTTCCCCACATCCTCTCCAACACTTGTTTGTTGATTTATTGATGATAGACATTATGACAGGAGTGAGATGGTATCTCATTGTGATTTTAATTTGCATTTCTCTGATGCTTAGTGACATTGAGCATCTATTCACATGTCTATGGACCATCTGTATGTCCTCTTTGGTAAAGTTCTTTATAAATGTTGGATATTAAACACTTTTCAAATGTATCATTGACAAATAAGTTCTCCCACTCAGTTTATTGATAGTTTCTTTTGCCATGCAAAAGCTTTTTAATTTGATGTAGTCCTATTTGTTTATTTTTCCTTTGTCTCCCTTGCCTGAGGAGATATAGCAGAAAAAATATTGCTGAGAGATAGCTGAGATTTTACTACCTATGTTTTCTTCTAGGATTTTTATAGTTTTCAACTTATATTTAAATCTTTAATCCATTTTGAATTTATTCTTGTGTATGTTGTAAATTGGTGGTTAAGTTTCATTTTTTTTGCATGTATCTGTCCAATTTTCCCATTTATTGAATAGACTGTCTTTACCCCATTGTATATTCCTCCCTCCTTTGTCAAATATTAATTGACCATAAAATGTGGGTTTATTTCTGGACTCTCTGTTCTATTCCATTGATCTGTATGCTTATTCCATACTGTTTTATATGGCCTTGTAGTATAGTTTGATATCAGGTAGCATGATACCTCCAACTTTGTTTTTCTTTTTCCAGATTGATTGCTAAAGCTATTCGGGGTCTTTTGTGGTTCTATATATATTTTGGAATATTTGTTCTAGATTCATGAGATATGCCATTGGTATTTTAATAGGAATTGTGTTGAATCTATTGATTGCTTTAGGTAGTATGGACATTTTAATGATGTTAAATCTTCCAATCCATAAATACAGTATATGCTTCCACTTATTTGTATCTTCTTTAATTTCTTTCTTCATTATTCTATAATTTCAATTAGGGAGATTGAAAAAAATATTATACTTTAAATGTCCAAATGAATTTAAAATTGAATATGTCTACTACAATATATTTGATAAAAGGCTTACTTGTTATATTAAACACTTAGAAATACTTAATGCCAGCTATGATAAGAGTTCATTTCGTAGGTCTTTTCTGGTTCTTTATGCTATTTGCTTTTTTACCCCTCTGTTCTTGTCTTTAATAGCCAATGTTATACTAGATTCTAAGGATCTAATAGGCTCTAGCTAACCAAATTGCCCAGGTATTTTAAATGAACAGAAGAAAACATCAAACTCTGAACATCAACATGATTACACTCAGTGCTAATGAGACATAAATAACCAAACCAAGGACACTCCGAATATTTTGCCAACACTTTGCTTTTAATGTGAGGAAGGTTATTTTTCTTGGTCTCAAATAATTTATCAACCAGCATTGCAAGTTGATGATGAATTCTGGCCTGCACCCATAATCTGGGCCTCCTTTGATTTAGGGCCAGTCTGAGAGGAGAATTCCACCCACAAAATTGGCAGCTTGTTAGGCAGCTCCTTCTTTGACCACTTGTACCTGGTAAGTCCAAAGACGCCCCCATAGGATGCTTCTTTTCTAAAACTTGAGAGAATAGAGACAAACCAATTAATGGGAGAAGGCAATGTGTTTTACAAGAGATTCATTGCGCTTGTTTGCTCATTTCACTTTTACTCTGCATTCCCAGCATTTTCCTGGGACTATTTAGAAACATTCATGGAGGAAAGCCTGCCTTTCCAGAAACTGATGGGAGCTTCTCAAGGACGGGCACCATGTTTTATTCATCATTGTATCCACAGCACCCAGCTTAGTGTCTGGAACACTGATGTGCTCAATAAATATTCGCTGAACTGAGCTGGCCTAAGGGTTGGCCTAAATTTAAGATTGGTGTAAATCGTAGCTGCCTTTGTTAAATATTTCAACATGCAAATAGTAATAGAGTCATTAGGAGATTTGTTATTTCCTCTGGTTACAGTCCTTAGAATGGATTAAAATGTTGCAGTGATTCATGAAGCAGCTTTTTATAACCATAATAGCTATTAAAGAGTGAGGTTGTTTTGTGTGAAACTGTCCATGAATTCACACCTTATTATTGAATTTTTATATCTAAATGGCAATTCTGGAGCCAATTTTTCACCTTACTTTCAAATTCAAGTAAAATTTTTCAAGTAATTATACCTCCCCTGGCATGCAGAAAGGCAGGGAATAGGCCTCAGTGATGAGGAGCCACCTATGCTTATGCACCTAAAATAGCCATTAATAATATTATTTATGCCACCTATTATTTATTAAATGCCTCCTATATGCAGGCCCTGTAATAGGTACTTTAAATACTTTATGGACAATATTTACACAAAATTATTATGTAGATATAATTAACCCCATTTTGCTGATGAGCACGCAGAGGCTCAGAAAGGTTAAGGGGCTTATGCAGGGGAATACCAGGGCTCCTCATTGTTTGACAGAGTTTAGAAAATTGCCTTAACTGCCTTCTTGTCTAAAGCACATGTTACCTGCATCTCTCTACATCTTTTTCTTCCTTTTAAAAAATGAATCGTGCCCTTAGCCAGTTTGGCTCAGTGGATAGAGAGTGTCAGCCTGCAAACCAAAGGATCCTGGGTTCGAATCCTATCAGTGGCATGTACCTTGATTGGACACTTCTCCCTGGCCTGGGCCCTGGTTGGGGCTTGTGCAGAAGGCAACCAATCAATGTGTTTCTCTCACATCGATGTTTCTCTCTGTCTTTCCCTCTCTCTTCCACTTATTCATCATTGTATCCACAGCACCCAGCTTAGTGTCTGGAACACTGATGTGCTCAATAAATATTCGCTGAACTGAGCTGGCCTAAGGGTTGGCCTAAATTTAGGATTGGTGTAAATCGTAGCTGCCTTTGTTAAATATTTCAACATGCAAATAGTAATAGAGTCATTAGCAGATCTGTTATTTCCTCTGGTTACAGTCCTTAGAATGCATTAAAATGTTACAGTGATTCATGAAACAGCTTTTTATAACCATAATAGCTATTAAAGAGTGAGGTTGTTTTGTGTGAAACTGTCCATGAATTCACACCTTATTATTGAATTTTTATATCTAAATGGCAATTCTGGAGCCAATTTTTCACCTTACTTTCAAATTCAAGTAAAATTTTTCAAGTAATTATACCTCCCCTGGCATGCAGAAAGGCAGGGAATAGGCCTCAGTGATGAGGAGCCACCTATGCTTATGGCTATAAGTATGCACCTAAAATAGCCATTAATAATATTATTTATGCCACCTATTATTTATTAAATGCCTCCTATATGCAGGCCCTCACAAGCGCAATGAATCTCTTGTAATAGGTACTTTAAATACTTTATGGACAATATTTACACAAAATTATTATGTAGATGTAATTGTCCCCATTTTGCTGATGAGCACGCAGAGGCTCAGAAAGGTTAAGGGACTTATGCAGGGGAATACCAGGGCTCCTCATTGTTTGACAGAGTTTAGAAAATTGCCTTAACTGCCTTCTTGTCTAAAGCACATGTTACCTGCATCTCTCTACATCTTTTTCTTCCTTTTAAAAAATGAATCGTGCCCTTAGCCAGTTTGGCTCAGTGGATAGAGAGTGTCAGCCTGCAAACCAAAGGATCCTGGGTTCGAATCCTATCAGTGGCATGTACCTTGATTGGACACTTCTCCCTGGCCTGGGCCCTGGTTGGGGCTCGTGCAGGAGGCAACCAATCGATGTGTTTCTCTCACATCGATGTTTCTCTCTGTCTTTCCCTCTCTCTTCCACTCTCTCTAAAAGACCAATGGAAAAATATCCTTGGGTGAGGATTAACAACAACAACAACAAAAAATGACTCTTTTTCATAAAGCCAGATCATTCGTTAAGTTAACAACCATCTTCTCTAATTTTCTCCTAGGAAAGTTTTTTGAAACTTCCTTTCCTTTCAGATTTACGTGCCATGGATTGGCGACTGGTCAAAGTTATATTTTCCGGGTCAGAGCAGTTAATGCAGCTGGACTTAGTGAATATTCACAGGATTCAGAAGCAATTGAAGTAAAAGCTGCTATTGGTAAGTTCCTTATGCATAACTTTGCTAAGAAAAAAATGATTTTTTCTAAGTTATAAAGGCAGATACCATCCTTTTCAGAAATTGTTTAAAGCTTCTAATATTGCTCCATGATTCCACCCTCAAATGATCATTTTCTCTGACTCCAGGTGACATCTTATTAACCTTTCATAGCTGTCATTTTACAGATCTTCATCACTTATCCAGGACTCCAGGTGACATCTAACCTTCCATAGCTGTCATTTTACAGATCTTCATCACTTATCCAGATTCTGTGCATCTGTAGCCTTTTCATCTTCACAAGTCCAAGTTTCCTCAGATATTTCCGATTGTGGGAAACTCCATTCTAACTTCGTGCTCATCACGGGAATGTGAAGGGCCATCCAATTCCATGAAGTGGTATATCACCCATAACACAGATCATCTTGTACCTAAAAGCCATTTCATCTGCAACACAGCCTGGCTTATTTTCACTAACAGCACATTAGCATGCTTTTTATAAACTCCTCTACAATTCCTGCAAAGACACATGTGGTGGCTTAATCATGTTTCATCTCTGCTTGCAAAGTAACCAACAGAATAAAACCAGTAACAAAGTAATTCTATGTATGTACATGATGTACCTCGCAATCTTAGATGACATGGGGAATGGACCCTGAAATTTCAGAGCAATCAAAATGAAATTTGTCATATAGCAACACATTTAAAGAGAAAGATCATTAAATATCAATTGTCTTCAGTTAGTGTTCCATATTACTTTTTAATATTCCTTATAATATGGACAACAGTGAACATGTTGCTTTGAGGTTGAGAGGTACAGACTATTAATATTTCACTAATGTGCATCATTCTGTTATAAAATCAGGATTGTTAATGTTACGTCTTTTGTGTACTTTATGGTTCTTCCCCCCCACCCTTCTGTTGAATAATACAACTTATATCTTCCAAGAAATATCTGAGATTTGCTTTCTTTTGTGTACACTTGGGTTCTGCAAATCCAAAATTGTTCCTGTTCCATATAGTAACACATTTAAAGAGAAAGGTCATTAAATATCAATTGTCTCCAGTTAGTGTTCCATATTACTTTTTAATATTTCTTATAATATGGACAATAGTGAACATGTTGCTTTGAGGTTGAGAGGTACAGACCATTAATATTTCACTAATGTGCATCATTCTGTTATAAAATCAGGATCGTTAATGTTACGTCTTTTGTGTACTTTATGGTTCTTTCCCCTCATTCTGTTGAATAATACAACTTACATCTTCCAAGAAATATCTGAGATTTGCTTTCTCTTGTGTACACTTGGGTTCTGCAAATCCAAAATTGTTCCTGTTCCGTCTGTAGTTTTTTTGTTCTCATTTCTTCTTTTTCCAGAACATGGTGAATTGAAATATTTCCTTGGTGTACATTACCTGAAATCTGTGCTCTCCATATTTCTGACAAACCCAAGTGATTTCCATTAAACCGAGATTGTTTTTGTTCTGTCTGTGGTGCTAATGTTTTTCTCTTTGTTCTATTAAGTAAGAGCAGTTTACACTGTGCCTGGGCTTAAAGTGTTTCTGTTGTTATCTGGCGATTGTAGGGGGAGGAGTGTCTCCAGATGTGTGGCCTGAACTGAATGATGCACCTGGTGGACTAACAGATTCCAGGGGAGGCATGCATGAAACCTCCCAGCCAGCCTTTAAGAAAGATGCTTTACTTGATAGCAAACTTAGCAAACCTTCACTACCCAGTAGCTCTCACAACCTGGGCCAAAAAGAAGTGAGTAAAGTAAGTGAAACAGTTCAGGAGGAGCTTACCCCACCACCACAGAAAGCAGCTCTTAAGGGGGAAAGTAAGTCTGATGATCCAAAAAAGAAGAAGAATATAGGTGAGAGTTCAAAGAGTAAAAATGTTCCATCTGTCTCCATCAGCATCCTCACCTCTCATTGTCCAGATCACATTCTTCCATCTGTGTTCACTTTCATGTTTATTCTTAATTTTATGTTTTCAGCTATTTATTTGCAATACTTTTGTAATCTTTTATGGGTTGGCTTGTATACATAACTCATTGTGCTTAATGATAATAGCATATGTAAAGTAATTTGGTTATACAGTCCTTTTAGGTTTCTGAGGCAGATACATGCCTGGCCTCATTTTGCTAAGGGAGTTAGAGATGAGAGCAGGAAAGGTTTGATCATCATAGCTTTGTGAGGTTCTTTGCAACAGTCTTACTTAGTACATGCATAGGAAAAGGATTTCACAAAGAAGGGAGATTTTACCAGGATTAGAGTTATCAACTTCTGTTGTTCATCCTCAGGTTTTCAAATTACCCTTCATATTTAATTAAAATAATTAAAAGTAACATTACTCTTTGAATTGCCATGAACAGTTTAACAGGGTATTATAATCACATATAGCTATGTTCTATGATACATGACCCACATGTCCAGTACGGATTTATTTAAGACTATCAGTAAGTTAAGGATTTTCTGATTAAGATAATTGGTACTTGTGACATATATTCTAGGAGACAATGTTTTTTTTAAAAAAATAAAATAAAAATGAAATAATAAGCATGTAATGATACATTAAAAATTAAGAATTTTCTGATTAAGATAATAGGTACTTGTGACATATATTCTAGGAGACAATGTTGTTTTTTTTAAAAATGAAATAATAAGCATGTAATGATACATTAAAACATACCTCTCATCTATCCTCTATTTCTACCCCACCTTCAACTTCTGTCACAGCTCCTATTTTTTTTGACACTTTTATCTGTCCCTTCAACTCAGTGTAAGATGGGATATTCTTGTTTAACATCGCTCTGAAATAGGGAGAAAGAGAGAAAGAGTGCTCTTTTGTAAAATGTAGAGAATGAAGGAGGTTGGGGTTGGGGAGAGAGAAACAAATGTATTTTATTTTTAAAATATTTACTGTTCTGAGATTCTTTTTGAATGGTAATGAGATAGTCTCTTTATATTTGATAAGCCAAATAAATATTTAGAAAATTCTTTTTAGTCATTGCATATCTAGATAGATTTCTTTCTACCACCACATCCTCTCTATCTTTATAAAAAACTATAATTTCAGTAGTTGATCAGCAAAGCCACATAAATGAAGAAATATTTTTAAAACATCCTCCAAATATTTTTATGGCTAGACACCAATAAACACGGAAATAGCTATATAATATTTTGTACTATATGAATAATATTCCAACATCAGGTTAAAAATAATGATACAAAAAGTATTATGTACTAAAAAAAATCACATAGAAGATTGTGCCTATTTATAAAAAAATTTTAAAGGTGACATTTAACCTCAGAAGATTTTTCCTGTTTGTAGACAGAATCTGTATAGTTATAATGTCTCACCAGGGTACCTGCGCCTGAATGGTTAAATGCTAATAACTCTGTAAATACATGGAAATTCTCAATAAGTGAATTGAAGCAGAAATTGATTTACATATTCCATTTTCCTCAAGGATCAAATAAAAACAAAATGACATAATGAAACAAAAATGTATATCTTGAGGAAAATATTCCTTTTTCAGGGGAACGGAATCATTTTGCTGGATAGTGCACCATTTTGCTTTTAATGTTTCAAACTTATCCCTTTTGGGGGCTGGGAGGTAGGTTTTTTTTAATCTTTAGAATAATAATTGCAGTGCCTTTTTGGCCCTGCGTGAATTTGTTTCTCATTCACCAAATCAGATGCCAAGTTACTGATCCGTGCCACATTTTAGTTTTATACCACAAGACCTAGTGCCTTCACCATGGAACCAGTGAAACAAGTTTAATATACATAGAATCATAGATGCATTTCTGTCTACTCACAAGTATTCATATTGCAACAGCGGCACCATCTCCACCCTCTGATATCACTTGTCTTGAAAGTTTTCGTGACTCAATGGTTCTTGGATGGAAGCAGCCAGATAAGAGTGGAGGGGCTGAAATTACTGGCTATTATGTGAACTATCGTGAGGTAATTGATGGGGTACCAGGAAAATGGAGAGAAGCCAACATCAAAGCTGTCAGTGAGGAGGCATATAAGGTAAGAATGTGACTTTCTGTAGTGTGGAGTGTCACATGTGTGACATACTCAACACGCACACATTTGCACATGCATGCACATGCCCAGCACCTTGTAAAAGATTCATGTCATTTCTCCAGTGTTCATTGCCTGCAATGACATGAGTTTTGTAAAATGTATATGAAGATAAATAGGATGTATGTTTATATGTTTATTCATACACATAAGCATAATTTCTTAGAATGTTTATTATGAAATGTATACTTACGGTGAAGACTAATGTTTCTTACAAAAATTAACTTACAAAATATCTGTAACAAATATGCCACTAGCTTCAAGAATCCCAGAATCCAAATGAATCTGGATTTTTTTTTTAATTGAGAGAGGAAGAGAGAGAGAAAAACATTGATGCAACAGAGAAACATTGGTTGGCTGCCTCACACACATGTCCTGATGGGAGATCAAACCCACACCCTGGTAATGTGCACTGGGAATTGAACCTGCCACCCTTTGACATACAGGACAATGCTCCAACCAACTGAACCACACAGGTCAGGGCTGGGATTCTCCTAATTTTAACACACATATGTCCTACATCCTTGGGAACCCTGTACTCCCAGGAAAACTGTAATTGTTGGTCACAGGAATAGAGCCCCAAAGCAACCCTGGTACCTAAATAAAGGACTTTGAGATCCAAGTTTTCTACCTCATGGTTTCCCCATAATTAAAAAGGTGTTTTCTTCTTAAAGGGAGTGTATGTGTTTAATCAAAAAGGGTGTTTATATTAGTCTGCTACTATAACACATAGCCACTATATTCTACTTATATCCTAAATAACTGACAAGACAAGCCCACTTTTGGATGAACTTATGACTTTCTGATCAAATCAGATGTAGACTGGATCATGGATTTATATTTGTTTTGGCTTAAGTCATACAATAGGTAAGCTTTGTTAATGCAGCTATTTCCAGCAATACTTCCATTTATTAAGCCTTTTTAATGTTTAAAGGATTGTATAGTCCATGGATTTTTTTATACTAATATATTCCATCATTTCTATTTTGCAAATGTGTTCATATTCCTTATCTTATTACATATATTTTCCCTCACAATAACCTAATTCCTACTGAGGGATATAGAAAATATTAGGTCACTCAGTAAAGAGCAGAAACATTACAAGAATTTGAATTTTTTTATTCCTAGTCTAGAATTCATTTAATTTTCATCTGTACATGCATTAGTTTTCTATTACTGTATAACAAGTTACCATAAACCTTGTGGCTTAAAATAATCCATGTTTGTTATAGCACCATTTCCACAAGTTAGAAGTTTAGGCTCAGCTAGGTCCTCTGCTCAGGTTCTCACAATGCTGCAATCTAGGAGTGAGCTGGGCTGCATTCTCCTCTGGAGCTTGAGGTTGTTGGTAGAATTGAGTTCCTGGCAGCTGTAGGTCTGAGGCTGCCCTTCTCCAAATGCCAGGGGCTAGGTGGTTCTCAAAATGGCATTTGCTTCTTGATGACCATTGAGACAGTGTTTCTATTCAGGAAGTTTCCAAACCCCATTTTATGAACCCCTATCTGATTAAAATCAGTCCTTCAAAAAAAACTCCACTCTTTCTCCTGTGTGTTTCTCCTTTATTCTTTGTTTTTTAATATAGTTTTATTGATTTTAGAGAGAAAACGAGAGAGAGAGAGAGAGAGAGAGAGAAAGAGAGAAGAGAGAAACATCAATGATGAGAGAGAATCATTGATCGACTGCCTCCTGCACACCCCACACCAGGAATCGAGCCTGCAACCAGGCATGTGCCCGACCAGGAATCCAACCGTGATCTCCTGGTTCATAAATGGACACCCCACCACTGAGCCACACTGGCTGGGCTCTCCTTTATTCTTACACTGCCAACATTTCCCTGACAACAGCTGGGTGTCCTACAATTTAACTCAATTCTGACACTACCCGGAGATAGAATCAGACCCCACAGGTAAAGGGTTTGATCCCACAAATCTGCCCCCGACCCTTCAAATTCCAGGGCTAAGTCTAGGTTGTCACTGAGCTTCTGACCTGACTGATTGGCTATATATCAGAGGTTCCCACAGTTTCCTCCTCAGGTTCCATTTATCTGTTAGAGTGACTCCCAGAATTCAGAGAAACATTTTATTTATTAGATCATCAGTTTATTATAAAGGGATATGTAACTCAGGAACAGCTAGAAGGAAGAGATGCACAGGGCAAGGTATATGGGACAGGCCAATGAGCTTTCATGACCTCTCCAGAGTGCCACTCCCCCAGCACCAACCTGGAGGCTCTCCGAACCCTGTTCTTTTGGGAGTTTTATGGAGACTTCATTATATAGGCATGGAAGAAATCATTAGCCAACTCAACCTCTAGCCTCTCTTCCCTTCCCAGAGATTCCAGTGGTGAGGCTGAAAAGTCCAACCTTCTAATCACATGATTGGTTTCCCTAGCAACCAGCCCAATACCTAGACTACCTAAGGGCTTCCCCATTTCATTAACATTAACAAAAGAACATTTAAAGTTTGCATCACTTTGTAAAACTTCCAGGGTTTTAGGAGCCCTGTGCCTGGAATGTTGGCAAAGACCAAATATATATTTCTTTTTTAAAAAAATATATTTTATTGATTTTTTACAGACAGGAAGGGAGAGGGATAGAGAGTTAGAAACATTGATGAGAGAGAAACATCAATCAGCTGCCTCCTACACACCTCCCACTGGGGATGTGCCCACAACCAAGGTATATGCCCTTGACCAGAATCGAACCTGGGACCTTTCAGTCCGCAGGCCAATGCTCTATCCACTGAGCCAAACCGGTTAGGGCCCAAATATATATTTCTTCTTATAAATTACAATATCAAAGTCAGGCAGGCCCACCAAGGATAATCTGGCTCTCTTTTTATTAACTCAAAATTAACTGATTCAGAACCTTAATTACATATGAAATATCCTTTCTCCTTTGTCTTATAATGTAACATAACTTCAGAACTGATATTCCAATACCCTTACCATATTCTGTTGGCTAGAAGCAGGTCACTTGTTTCGCCCACACTCAAGGAGAGATTACAAAAAGGTATGATTCACTGAGAGTCATTCTAGAGTGTGTTCAACACAGGAGGTAAATAAATAAAATGTTGAATAATTAGAGAAAACAAACCTGAAACATTCACTCTCTGTGATATTATCTATGTTGCAGATCAGCAACTTGAAGGAAAACACGGTGTATCAGTTCCAAGTGGCAGCCATGAACATCGCTGGGTTGGGAATGCCCTCGGCAGTAAGCGAATGCTTCAAATGTGAAGAGTGGACCATTGCTGTTCCAGGTAAATCCTGAAAACTCAGACTTTCTTCCAATAGACCCTACCACTTGGAGCTAAATTTAAGTGCTGTATAGACAAGTTCTACAGGAAATGAATTCTCTTGGTTCCTCATGTTTACATAAAATATTTTTACAATACTATTAAATAACTAGAGGCCCAGTA